GCTTAAAAATATATTTTGCACAATCAACATCAACAGCCTATACGTGGCCACTGCTGATCAAAGGCCTTCACAGCTCAATACAGGTTGGAAATTTCAAACGTATAATTAGAAATTATGTATAAGCTTAAGTTTCCTTACGATGTTTTCCTTCACCTTCTTCAGTGGTCTCTAAATAATCTTAGAAAGTACATATGACTCGGGAATAGTCACATCGGTACTTACTGTTGGTAGGTTTTGAAGGTGTACACTCATGCATGAGAAGCACGCTCATGCTTATAACTCCGCACAATCTATGATGTAAAACGAATGGTACTTAAACTATTACACTACAAAAATCTTTACCCATGGGAAAAGCATTGTAACTTAATAAAACTTCAAGGAAAACACAAATAAATGTTAAAATAGTGATACAGGTTATCTCAACTGCCATTTATTTGTCGTCGCATCTGAGGCCCGTAAGGTGCATGAGTCAGTCACCTGGTTCCCTACCACACAACCGGTGAATCATCGCGGACATCTGTCCGTATTTCTGCTCATCTGCATTCTACATTGTAAGCACTTATTTATTCAGGCTATGCATGACTGTTGCAACAGCAGGTAAAGCTATTCTAGGCTTTAATAGATTTGCCACTGTAACCATTTTGACTTAAGGTTTAAAATGTATTAAAGAATTTTGACGGGAGTGTGGCTTGATGTGATGTTCTGTATTAGCATGGGTACGATTGTCAGTTGTTCTCAAGCTCTGTGTGATCTTTAATTTTTAAAACTCTATTGTTTTATTTGTTACTTAAATTAAAGATGGTTTGCTTCTTCTGATGGTCTGTTTCTGTTTTTAAATTCTTGTTTATTCTGTAGAATATATGACGTTTACTTTAGACTTAGAAAAAACATCTTCTGTGTCGTTATCAGACATTCTACAATGAACAACCTTGCATGAAACATAAAACTAAAATAACCAATCTAAGTCGACACCAAAATAGATTTTATTACTCATTAAATAAGGATAACAATTGACCACACATCCATACAACTTTAGATACTAAATCGCGCCGAAACCGTATATTTTTGTATACCACGAATTACAACAACTTACGTCATAAATAACAGTCATATGGGCTATGGTGACATTGTCCTACATCCGAACATTGAATTCGGTATAGCTAGCACGCAAAACAATCGTTTCTACAAACCACAATTTGTTACGGAATTAGAAAAAAAAGGATGAAAAAGTAAAAAGACATTCTGAACTGGTGATACGGAATAATGTATTATGTTTTGTAATAAAACCAATGTCTAGTTAGGCTATGTTATTCGACTGGTATTGTAGACAAGGTTTCATGGATATAAATAGGCCCATGTAAGTCGTTTAGTTTCATAGCTGTTGCCTGCGACTTCGTCCGCGTAGAATATGAGTATTAGGACATAACTTTTCTTTTGTTTAATATTCCAAATTAAAAATAGCCTATTTTACTTCTTAGTACATCAGCTACCTGCCAGTAAAAGTCCCGTCAAAATCGGTCTAGCCATTTTAGAGATTAGCCAGTACAAACAGGGAGACAAAAATTATAAACAATGTTATTTTGGTATGTGTATCATATGTATATTCTATGCATGTAGTAAAAAGCGCTTATTTCTATTTTACAAATAGACACTCCAATTATACATATTTACCTGTATAGGTAGGTAAAGTTATGGATTCGTTGTAAACATCATCATTATCAGTAGGACAGGGCTCCACTGCTGGACTATAGACCTACATTTAGAAGGTCCATAGGTTATATTTATAAGCGATAATATCAATGCTTGATAAGCCGTTTGGAGATAGCAGCTTTAGAGCTTCAGGTTTACCAGAAAAATGATCAAATGACCTATGATTTAATTTGGTGTAAATCATGATCTATATGTGTTGTATGTGACCGAGGATCAGGGTGCTTACTCTTGAAACCAATCTCAATGTCAATTCATTTACAATCCAATAAAATCTTAATAATTATTCACTACTAAAACTATTAACCTTTATCGTAGCTGTTAAAATAGCATTCAGAGTACGGCATATAAAGTCAAATTCAATACCATTTAGTTCATTCAATATCCATGCAATACAGATGTAATGGGCGCTAGTGTTTCAACTCAAGAGTATGAAATTTCACAATGTCGATCGATCGGAATTAGATTCAAGAGTAAGCCCCCTGGTCCTAGCAGTTCTATATTTCCTTAAGTTCCTCCCTATAAATACCTACCGATATGATTGTATTTGTCAACGACTGGTTTTCCTTACACAAGTTTCCTCGTAGTTCCTCCTATTTTAGCCTCAAACCTAAATAACTATTTTGATTATTATAATTATGTAGTTTTGCGTTGTCTGTCAGTCAATAACTCAGCCTCGAACTGTAGTATTTATAGAGTTTATTTAGATTATGTCGGCTGTAATGTTATTTTTATGTTAATCCGTTTTCATGAAAATAAATTATGTCAGGATGCCTGCCTGTCAGGACCACCAATCAGAACGGACTATTTTTGTCGACAGCAAAATGGAACGAGAATTATTAAAACCTTTTTATTCTGTAGATAGATTTAAATTGTTTTTTTTTATTTTACATTCTTAATTACTTACCTACCCATAAAAACAAAATAGGTTAATTATTTTCCGTGTTTGGTTTATTAACATAACTCGTTTTGTGTAGCCATCTTTATCACGCAACTATGTTTACAAGAAATTGGAAAACTTTGTTTTATTCCGACTACATTTTACTATTGTTTAGATTATAAACTATAATAAAAACTATCAATACAAAAATAAACGTCTTAAACTTGACCTTTTTAAATAAAAAACGCAGATCTTCAATGCTCTCATATTTTTACGATTTATTTTGGGCTCTGTGGTAGTATTCATCTTAATACTTTACGATCAGCCTCCATAACCTTCTTTCTGTAGATTTGGCTAATAAAAGTAGATTTTTGATATCCATACTGGTGATTCTACGTGATACAATAACAAAATTAGCGAACCGAAAATTTTAGAACCATTCGATGATCTTCTTGTATTCGAAGACTATCTCAAATAGTATAAAACTTAATTTACAGAAGTATACGATGCATTTGGCAATAACACCTTACAATCTGAAGATTTACAATAGGTCTACCTAGTATCTATTGCAGGTAAACTAAACCGACAGTGACACATGAGCTATTGTTTCCGAAACAGTTCAGCGTTGCGTGCAATAGGTATGCAACTCATTGTACTATCTTGTGGACTCCTGTATTGTGCAAATGGTATGAACTATGAACACTCCGTGTTAAGGCTATTTATGTTTGTCTTCTTCATTCTTTAATTGCCTTCCTTAAGCATAAGGACCTTCCTGGACGTTGGGGCCAGAAACAACAGAGTTTCACACTTGGCAACACATTCAACATAACAAAAAATGACTTTAAGTATTATACTTTTACGGAACTTAACCTCGGTACACAAATATTCACTTTCGAGCAATCAATCCTTAAAACAATAAGTAACTCCTTGACCAATCTTTGTCAATACGAGTCTTATTACTGGTAGAAATAAGGACTGAACTTCCGTGAATACCTTTCACCGAATCATTGACATCGATTTGTCGTTGACTGTTCATAATATTTGGGTAGTTGGCGCATAAATATTTATTCCAATAACTACTGCGTGACTTTTACCGATAAACATGGATGTATGGTGTCATTATCACTACCAGGAGACTAATGATCATTACTACAGTGAGCGGAACGATGTGAGAACTTTTTATAATCACCATTGAACACCATAAACGTCAGAATAGATGAGGATAAAGGTAACGGATCCATGAATTTAAAATTTGAACGTCATGGTTGGAGCTCCTTGTGTAGTCCATTTAATACGGAATTGATTTACTAATGGCATATATAACTCGACGGGAAGATACCGTTCGAGCGATCGGAAGCTAAAATAGGACGTCTCCTGACCTCATTCAAGGTCAAACAGGGAATTATCTACGGAATGACGATGTCTCTTGCTACAGGATGGAAACACTGCATTCTATACTGCATCCCATGAATCACACGATGCGTAAATCCGTATGAAATCTAAACCAACTTTTAAATAGAATTAATGTGTTAATCGAGCGTTTTTTATGCGTATCCGGCGTGCCCGCCATCCCGAGCCTGGGTGATTGACCCATGCGTCATGTTTATTCGCGAACGGATATCGGTCACATTATTATTATTTATTACTATTAAACACGTAACGGAACGTTGTTTATGGCTATTTTGTAATTTAGATACCTTAAAGTCATTATGTTATTTACTGTTTTGTAAAGTTATTGAAGTTTTTTACAAAGACGAGAGTGAAATGCGTGAGAGCGAAAGGTCTCGTTCGCCGTCTGCCGGGGTCTGGTGTCTTGCGGTTTTATTTCAACGTTTCCTATTGTATTTCGTTTTCACTCACAAAAAACCGATCAGCAGACAAAGTACTAGTGGTTGATTGATTCACTGTTCCTGGTCATTTTCACTAAGTGTAGGTTTACCAGTTATTGAACTTTCTTTCGGTAGCCTGAAATTAGCCTTCTTTCGACAGATTTCACGCTGGACGCACGTAAGCAAGCTCGTCGTGTAACAATATTTATGTGCGTACCTGGCACACCCTGGGCACTGAACCTCAGCGCCAACATTGTTGATCAATCACGCTGTCTCTTTGTGCGAATTACACATGTCAATATGAAGCGTCACCGATTTCTCTTGACATAGCCTTACCTGCTATTCAACAGCTGCAGTCAGATCTAAAAAGACATGTTTGAGACCTGTTGTTTAACTTGTCATGTTGGTCTGGTCTCCACAGATCATGTATTTAGGACGTCCATCTGTGTTTAGGTCTTTCTTGACTATTTTTAGCCATAACATTCCAAGTCTACCATGGTTTTTCTGTTTTCAATGCCAATGTTATAAAATTTATTTTTGTTTTCTGTTCTTGTAGATTTATGTTTGTTTTCGTGTTGTTTCAGGCCCGGGCAAACGGATCACGGGCACGGCGGCGGCGCGCTGGCGTACGGCGGGAAGCCGGCGGCGGGGGGTGTGGTGGCGCCGCCGCAACCCAGACCACCTCCCGCAGCACCCTATGCCCCACAGCCTTACGCCCCAGCACAGCTGCGCCTGCACCAGCCAGGATATGGATCAGCGCCATTATCATACAGGTGGGCCTCATTTATATGAACAACCGCAAACGTGTAGAAAGGAAAACCACAAATTCCATTTTCTGTTACAAAAATGCCGTTAACAGTTGCCATGGATTTGTAAACGATTGCACATGGCATTACCACGTCCATTATTTACAATTTCCATCTGAAAAAACTTGTACTCAACATGATGTTGCCCTAAAATTCCTGTAGAACCATCCAATAATCCAATTAAAGATTTAGTAGATGAAAATGACCATCTATCTCATCTATCTAAATCAGTTTTACAACATTTAAATATTTTTGCTGTTTCACGATTGCATTCACACGAGGCTCTTATCTTCTATAATGGTCGATGACCTCCCAATAGATTAACTGCGAACTAACGATCCTGGGATATATTCTCTTAATCTGAGCTTGCCAGGCTGATTGATGAGCACATTACCAGTAAGGACGCACGACGACGGATTACTTGGATGATGAACTTTTATATGTATATATTTATGCCAAAATAATATCAACCAAGAGCTCCAAACTATCTGAAGTATTAGAGGAGAGCTAATAATAATAACTAATACTATAATTAAGAAATCGTTTTGAAAGAACTAGGGAAGTATCTTAAAAATGTTCACAGGCCATAAAAACGTAAAGGTACTAATGAGTTTGATGCAATCAGCTCTTAAAACAACGGAAGCAACTTTAACAAACCAGCACATTATACTATACCAAACTGTCAATAAGTTTTCAACTTTACAACAAGTCAATAAAGATGAAAGTGTACTAAAGTATTTTGGCAGTTTCGAATACCTTGATAGGCTACCGTCTTCGTTGAACAGTAAAGTAAACGAGTTAACTATGACGCCTATTTTCGAGCCGTTAACAAGTTGTGAGCGTTCTAAATTGGTAGTACGTTCAACCTGTTAGCGTTATTTGAATTGATTGAATTGTTACCTTCGAACATGAGAGTCTTATTACGACCTAGTTTCAACGTGTCTGTGATATTAAACCACAATTTATTGAAGTTAAGAACTTTTAACCAACTTCATTGGGCTCTCTTTCATGAAACACGAAACGCTTATAATAATTTATGTTTAATTAATGAAGAACCGCTATAAACTACTAAACCTTCATTTGAACCAGTCTTTGGACGGAAAGAGGAAGTATTGCCACATAATAATTGAATTAACATTCAACCGAATATTGTCAATACCCATATACGTAAGTGGCGCCATCTAGATGTTTGTTAATTTAAGATATTGAACGGTTTCGTAAAGTAGTAATACGCCACGTGGTTTAATTTGCTGATCCAGATGCCAGATAGTTTTTGAATAATCACGTATCAGTGTTTTTGCCCACACGTTTTCAGCTTTCAGAATTGCGAAACACGTAATTTTTAGAACGATGGCTACGTCTTTGTGTTACGTTCTTTTCTGACGCAGACCAAGTTGAAAAAGTTGAAATAAAAATTTCATTCAATTCACTCGTTTCTTTTGAAAAAAAAAAACTGTATAAAGGAGGTCGTTATTCTCATTCTGTTTCATTGCAGGATACTTTGCTCCGTGAGGTACTTTTTGAATGGAGCGATTTGCAAAATAAAAGGGGTTCTCGAGGGTAGAGATGTACAGCATCCAAATAGTAATGTATTCCGTTAAAACCCTAGCGAGTATGATTCATTAACATACTTAATACTTCAAAGGGTTGGACCCATCTTTTAACAGGCTTACTTTATGATTACATGCCCCAAAAATGGTTTTACAAAAGTAAACTACTTTCATTAACGCTTTACGTGTTTGTTGAATAGGTTCATCCAAAAGTGAACATGGAAATGAAATGGTGACTAAAGCTATACAACATTTACCGTTTCGGGGATTCCCAGAAGGTTAAAACTTAAAAAAAATAAGGAAGGAAATGGTCGGCTGAATAAAAAAAGTTATTATTTAATTGTTTGAACAAAAACAGGTTTAAAATATTTACATTTCGTCATATTGTATCATACTTGCTTTCTTACTTCTTGGGCGGACCGCGGACGTGACCCGCGTCATGTCGCTCAGTCAGTAAGTCTGGTCACAGACCTAGGTCTGCCATCTATACGCGTGCAAAGACTTACATATTTACTGTACTGTTTAGTTTTCCTAGCTTCATCTGTGTCTAGGTTTCTTCTAGTAATCTCGTTCTTGGTAATTGAAACTTGTTTTGTGGAATACTTTTTTTATTATACCTATATCATAAATTTTATTTGTTTTAATATTTGTCTAAAATGTTGCCAAGTAAAAAAAATATTTAAGTTTTTTTTTGCGTTTACTATTATTATTTAGTTCATGAATATGTATGTAGTTGTCCACTGAAGAATCTAGTAAATAATTTGGCGAAACTACCACTAGAGAGCTAGAATTCTCGTAACTTTTCGTATCCAAGGACATATTAATGGTCTGGTCACGTCTAGGCGGCGGGGGAGGGAGGGGTCGTCACGTGCGGTCCCGTTGCGAATACCTAATGTCCTTGTTGTCATTCATAACCATTACCTGCAAGCTAGCATGGGAAACATTGCTCTTTGTGAGTTCAAAGGTCCATGTCATAGAAAGAAACCATAGATAACAGTATACTATAAAATAGTTAATAAAAGTAGTTATTAACCGTTCTCGTTATTCGATGTGGCTGCTTTACAAAATGTCAAAGAAAAACGTTTTGTACTCGAAGTAGTAAGTTGACGTCATACTTTGTTTACGTCATAAATTACACGTTTCGTTATTAGAATTAGATTGAAATAAAACATTGAATAAAACACACTTACGATAAGATTTGTTGAATACATAATGGTAAGTAAGCGCTTACCTACTTGCTTACCTAACACAATGAAATTAAATAATATAGAAAGAGATATTTTTGCATACGGAGTTATTTTTGCACGTAAGCATTTTTATTAAAGCGTGTCAAAGAAATTGAAGACTTCAAAAGAAAACTGATATTACGAAATGTGGCGAAATCACTACGTGAGTAAAGCCATGTGTCACTAAAATTGCAAGAAATGTACCAGATATCTTTCGATACGGAATTTTGTTTAAAAACATTCAGTTGAATAATACAAGAAACGTAGTTTGTTTATCTATGTGAACTTTATATTATCTGTCATTGGTTTCCAACGAAATCCGTAACAACGTGCCGTGATTAACAACCGATAACTAGTTATTGCGTTTTAAAAATAAACTGTTATTTTTGGAAAATAAAAATGGACATTTATTTGCGGATATTTGTTTGAAAATGTACATTTATACTAACTGGTAAGCATCTGGATGTTTGGATATTTGTCCGTCAATCACGCTCAAACTACTGAACGGATTTTAATGAAAGGTGTATACCTTTATAGCCCGTATAGCCAGTATACGGTCTGACTTTGTGATCGGATACTTTTATCCCGATTAAATGCTCCCGTGGAATAAAACAGGAATCATATTCTACGCGGACGAAGTCGCAGGCAGCATCTAGATATTTATAATTACTATAAAATTTTATGGCCTATATTATAGTGCTGCTTTTTAATTATTTTTCATAAACTTATTTTCATTATACGAAGCACTAAACTTAACTGGATAGTCTTCTCTAATGACAGATGCAGTAAAATCTAAATTACCGGACAGGCTTAAAGTAATTGCTTCACGTTCGCTGAGTAAAGCAGTATTCTTTAATATATTTTCTAGAAATACGGAAGCACCATTTTGAACATTACAGTTTTGGTTCAGTGTTACTAGACGTAAAAATAATAATTATCATTGTTTGTAGTCTTGCAAGGTACACGATGTTGTTAGCCGTGTTAAACTTACATTATTAGATGTAATAAATAATGAAGATTAATATTTCTGTGATTACACCTATCATGGCACACGTTTAGTTTTACTAAACGTGTGCCATGAACCCAGGTATTACCTCCAGATAATTATGCCATTATTTTTCTTTATTCAAGGGTTGTCTCGCTACTTTTACACCGATTATACCATAGACAAAACAATGTGAACCCAGCATTGTGCGGAGATAAGGAAACAACACTATTGTACCGCCTAGGGTTGTCCAATAACAAAGTCCTTTGTAAATATTTTGATAACATTATTTTATAAGCATCCCCTAACGCCCCACGCCGCGGGCGTACTACGCCGAACGCGGTAATTTACGAAAACATCAGCAATGGTTTTCATGTATTATATTTTTTTTTTCTCCATCATCTATTATAAATAGCATGACGTCAGACCTAATTTATGTTCTGCGCTCCGCAAGATTAAAATTTCATGTAATTATTATACGAATCGTTAAAATTCAACGTAACTTTTTACATCAAAAATGTTTTAATTTAAATGTTAAGTTTTATCATTTATTTTGTTATAGTTGGGCCTTGAACTGAAGATGATGGTTAGCGGTTACATAACCAGCTATTTATAAATATTCATAATAATATACACACAATACATACAGTTCTTTATCTTGTCTTGAAGATAGATCTTTGTCACGAAATGATCTATATGGGTTTAAGTTCATAATGATGATGACCTCAGACCTAGTATTATACGACTATAGTACACTGAGAGAAGCGCAAATATAGATACTAGACTTTAATACTGGTACAGTTACAAATAGTGGAGGCAAATTCAAAGTAAGAACGGCGTCCATATTTAAGTCTTCGTGCAACAACCCTGAGGTTAGTGCAGTGTTCCGAGATGTAATGCCCGTCTGGCAACAATACCCGCCATGGGAAGCGATTACAATGTTTTTGCACAATACATACTCTTAATAATTGAGATTTCTTCAAGCAAAAATAAGCTAAAACACCACAATAATGAGGTGCATTATTCCTCATTACAAGAAAGCGGATTCTGGTTTCACCGTGCGAACAAGAATGATTGTTTTATTTTGTAAAATACTTCGTTCTGTAACAATCTGATTAAGTAGCGACTAAAGAATAAAGCTTAATTTCGTCTTAATCCTCCATATTAGCATTCCCCATTTGCATAGATGTTTGTGAAAAGAAAAACCCACTTTTTTTCTTTCTATAATTTATATTTACTTTTCTGCCATGCATGACTATTAGATGTATGAGTAAGCGTTTACTTTAAAGTTTTTGCAAACATTTGAAAAAGAATGAATTGATCAATGATTTGAAAATTATTGAAATTAAAAAACCTATTTAATGGCTTTGTCACCTTGAAAGACCTTTAACGTCAAACGCAAAATTAAGCAGTATGTAGGTAACTGTATTTTTTCGAAGTAGCCAGCAGTTGATCTGTCAAAAGCAGGTTTTGTTGTTGATTATTTTTGAAAACAAACGTCTGGAGCGGGTCCAACCCGCCTGTTATGAAAGGTGTTAGAAATAGCCCCGACAGCCAACGAGTATCATTCGATGCATTTCGTTTTACCCGGCTGTATTTTTAGCAATACCACCTGCATTAGTCATGCAGAAAAAAATAAGTCTGCGAACTTATTTTTTGGCTTGTGTTGTGCGGTGTTTTGAACTGCTCCATTTTATTTTTGGTATTTTATTTTGCTAATGTAAATCGGATAGATAACTACAAAACTAAAACCCAAATGTAAAAAAAATGCACTGTGTCCATTGGTTTACGGTAAAATATAACCCAATAACGATGGAGCGAATGACACATGTTTTAACAGGAATTACATCTGTTATTTGCCCAGCTATATTGAAAATAGGATCAACATGACACCTCATATGTGTGCCGATGATTAATTTGTATAAATTCATAATAAATTATCGTTTTAACGACCTGAGCAATAAAACATGTAAGTGTTTCATCGATTCTTCCAATTTAAACAATAAAAACGTGAGAATTTTCATATTAGTTCCACCTCCTGCCATTTTTTCGTTCGCGAAACTGTAAAAATAACATCACGCGATAGTCGAGCTCAATCACCTTCGTCTGTGGTCGTCGCCAAGCACGTGTGTGTGTGTTTTTTAATAAAATATTGTTTCTGCTTAATTTTATTGCCATTTTAGTAGCGTATACGCCACACGGCCCCGACCGTACAGTGTTGCCATGTAATCTCCGACGGAAAAATTCTTCGTCTGTTATTATTTTCGTACAAATTGCACAATTACAGCGGTATGATTTGACAACTTAATGCGTTATTTCCTACGGCTACATTACTCATGTGATAAAAGTTAGTACAAAGGTACTTGTGTTTTTGTCGTATCTCTCATTAGATTACATTATAAATGTTAATCTCGAATGACAACTAGAATTCGAACAAGTAAGTGTTTCAAATATTAGCTAGTATTCCTTATCAGGACTAACCTTGTGCAGGTCTACGTTTAATAATGTGATAACTGGATAAATATGCATGCGATACAAACAACATGCGTATAAAATAAAATATGTTTTGATAGAATGAGAAGAAACCTCGGGGCGAGTCATTGGAACCTGCACTCCATAGCTACCTGTATTTATGTATGTGTAGAGTACAAAGTCGTATCGTCATTTGGAATACGTGACATTCTCGTGATGTTGGCAGCCCTGTTGGCGGGCGCGTTCGGTTCAATGTTTATTTTTTATTATTATTCAGCGCGCGTCGCGGCCCGGCCACCACGTGGTGCCCAACGTGGCGCGCTAAATACAGACTCGGCCGTATTGTCGCGTATCGCCATCACGGTTACGTCATACTGTCTGTCTATACTTCTCTATAGAAGTTAAGCTAATGTTATGTTATGTTGAACTAATGCTACCATTAGCTAATAGCTTACTTTTTTCTTGTAGCACGGGCTAAATATAATGAGAAAGCATTCCACTAGAATTCCTCTAATTTAAAATAATGCGATCAAGTGCACAAATTCCGACACTAAGATCTGGTTTCTAGATTTAATACGGCAAAGTTTAAGACCTAGAATATTCTCCAGTGTTTGTGTTGTAATCTAAATAAACGATTTGCGCAAATCCTTTGATCAAATGCTAACTTGTTATGTAGAGCCAGTTGCCCACGTATTGGGAACACGAGAGCTATACATTCCTTATCGTTTGTTTAATCTTTGCGATAAAACTAGTTCAAGTTCATTTTCAATTACTTTATCAGGAGTCTTAAAAGCATTTTAGTATCTTATAAGTATTGCCACGTTTTCATGCAAAAACCCAACGTTTAGTTATATCGTCGAATAGGCATTTAATTGAAGTACAGTATCAAATTATTATGAGTAGAAATTCCATTTAGTAACTAATGACTCAAATTACTTGATATGTTTTTGAATAATAAAAACATAATAAGTATTAAATGTGACCCCTACAACACGTGTTAAATGATAGTGGATAATGGCCCATCAATGGCGCTAGTGTGTCATAATAACTATGCACATTAAGTACAGCTATAGAAAATAAAAATAGTTACAAAGTAAAGACCTAAGAAGTCACATGGTAAAATAATGAATCGTATTTCTGTATCGGTATCGGCGCGACCCTGCCACGGCTACATCACAACGCCCCCCGCGGCCAACCTTGGCCTTCTCGTCGCGGCATGCGATCGGACGAGGATTACTAACAATACACATTATTTTCACAACTCGCCATGTTTATTACGTCATCTCTTGTTAAGGTGAAAGTTTATAAGAATTCATCTGTTTTAAATACGTGTTCGCATATTTTTATTATTGTTGTTTTGACACAGATTCTTTGTTTTTAATATTTGGATTGTTGAAGATTTTATTATCAACAGATAAACAACGATTTCTTATCCAGTACCTAAGCTGTTGACCCAAATAATGTGTTATAATTTTTATTTAAAGTTTATAACAAGGCTGTAAACTTATACGACCATTGATCTTCGTCCGATAGTTTAAAAAGAATGACTGTCAAACTAACAGACAATGTCAAACGCTCCAACGATCATTTACAAAATATTTTAACTATTTTATACCAACATGTAACAGGTACCTATTAATAATAGTGAGCTATTTTATAGTTATTTGTAATTCGACTGTAAGCGTGTAATTGGTACCTAGATGGTAGCAATTACTGAAATGGTGAAACTGCGTCCATATTTTTGGGCAGGCGACTAACTGAGAAATAATTCAGGCAACTATCATTTACATGTGAGTATTGCCGTAACGACTACAAAAACTAATACATAATGATATAAAAATATTCATGACTGGCTATGAAAGGCGATGGAGTCTAAAAATGGCGTGACGCCTGCCATCTGTTGAGCTCAGCGTGAAATAATTTCGGATTGAGGTCGTTGACGGTTGACATTTAAAGGCATCCCAACAAGGAGGTATTATTACCACACGAAAGCAGACACGCGAAAAACGGGACATGTAGATTGTAAATGCAGTCATCGTTACATCGAAACACATTTTTTTATCGCTACCTGCGTCCTTTAAATTGTGTCGTTCATATTTAAAGGGTTCCATAATTCCATTCTGAAATATGGGGAAAGTGCCATTTTTTTCGTAAATAATTTATAGTTAACGAAACACAAATGCGTTGTAAAACCTCCTTTGAAATTCTTGGCAGAAATATGTTATCTACAAGAATTAGATACATCGAGCTTAAAGAAATTCTTGCGCTAACTTGTTCTATAGTTATTGGCTTATCCCATTGTCCTAGGGGACTGTGGAGCAGTTGTATAGTGTATGGATGATTACTAGTCCATTTCTTGATGTCTCCCCTTGTAAAGAACCCCTCTTTACGCTCCCCCGGCAACACAAGGTGTGACAACAGCTGTTATTGTAACCGCTGTTCTGTGTCGTTAGAATAATTACGAAATGCAACAAATTTTACTAGAGAGATAGTAAATATAAAGAGTTTATGTTAATTAAAAAGAAATTAAGGACCTTGAAAGCAGTCGTGGAAGTTTTTGTGACAAATGTAGTGCAGGATACAGTTGCAATTTTCTGCAACTTTGTGTGTCGTGTAAGTAAGGTTATCGGTGTCCTAATCCTCCCATGGGGATGAACCCAATCCCCAAATCCTCAAATTCCTAACCCCCAAAAGGCCGGTAAGGCACTCATAATTCCTCTGGTGTTACTGCTGCCGATTCCTTACCACCGAGTGAACGGTCTATTCGATGGCACAAATCCCTTGTATTATTTTCGACTAAAACTTCGATTATAACTAAGGGACTTGCAGCGCATTCTCTACTCTCTACGGCTTAATAGCGATCCTGAAGCTATTGCTAAGTGTGAGCGTACCCCTAACTCCTAGGTGGAACATCTTTGTTCTGATGATGATGACTAACCAGTTGCTGTATGTTTCCAGGGACAGTAGTTACGTCCGCGGCGGCGGTGCGGTGGGGTCGGTGGGGGGAGTGGGGGCGGTGGGCGCGGGCGCGGTGGGTGCGGGCGAGTACCGCGGCGGCCGAGTGTCCCTGCTCGGCGCCGGCGCGGCTTACCTCCCCCCGCCCGCGCCCGCAGCGCACCACCCGCCCCCCGCTGACCCGCCGCCTTTCAAGAAGATCAGGCTCACAGCTGAACGGACACCGCTACCACATCACCAGCCGCTTAGGGTTGATACTAGGGTCAGTATCTTTTATAATCCATGATCCGTAGGTACCCATATTTGGTCAATGACCCTGATGATCAGCCCAAACGACCTACCCAAGTTTGGAGTGTGGACTGTTAGCTAAGCACTACTAGTTATGATGAATGATACCAGTTCCACTAGAAAGATTTTTTACAGTTAACTTTGGTATACAGTAGACCAAAATATATCTGCTATCACCATATTTTTTGCATTTAAGAAACCGTCACCACCTGATGTGATGATGAAGGAAGCAACAACAATAAACTCTGTGTCTATGTATTGGCAAATTCTCTGATAAGACTTTAATTAGAGAAGAAAGAATAATTTCATAATATTTTCTAATATTACACTACGATTCTTCTGTTGTCCAGTTATCACAAATCTGCACGGGGATGAAGATCCTTTAGTGACCTTCAGACTATATATCTTTTACCATGACACAAACACAATATTAACAATTTGTCATATACATTTCAGGAGCCGGTGAACCAGTATAGCACAGTAGAAGTACTATCTCCGAATCCACCATCAGATACCACGATGGAGGACCAGAGCTTCAGAACCACTAAGGATGACTTATTACAACAAATATCCAAGGTAATGTCGCAAAAACTATTTTAAAGTGCTTAAAAAAGAATGTACCGTAAATAAACGGTACTCGAATTCTTTAGGTGGGTATTGATTGAGATTTCAAAGAGAAATAATCGTTTAGATTGGACAGAATAGAATATAGATTCTGTTTTTATAATAACTATCGTGAGACATACTAAATTAACTAAAAATCGCGGGTTACTCACGTGAAGCTCAACTAGTTTCGAACCACAGAGGGGTTCTTCCTCATGAGCAACGTGCGCGGTCGCGGCGATGTCGCGCAGCCTACTGACTACAGCCTACCTAACCCGCGAGTTTTAGTTAATTTAATAAAGATTCTATTGAAAAAGAAGGAGCAAGATTCGCTTCCTTGAAGTATAGACTAAGTAAGAAAGCCAATCTTGTTTTTTGAATGACAGATTTCGTTACTCTGAATCTGGTACAAATGGTTTTGCTATATCTAGAACACAATGAATAATGAACCTTACTCACACGACGAAACACAATGCAAGCGTTGTTTCACGTCGGTTTTCTGTGAGACCGTGGTATCACTCCGGTCGAGCCGATCCATTTGTGCCGAAGCATGGCTCTCCCACACTTTAATATAACATAGTAGCTTTAAAATTGTATATTTATAACACAGTAACTAACGAATCTCCATCTCTAATTCACAGGTGGACAGAGAAATGGCGTTATCAGAGTCAACGTTATCAAAATTAAAGAAGAAACAAGAAGAATTAGAACAGACAGCCTCGAAGCCAGCACGGGCAGAGGAGCCAGAAGAAACTGTACCACGACACAGAAGTTTAGCACAATGCGTATACGCAGAAAATAGGAAAAAGGTTCTTATCAATTTATTTACACACCTTGTATAAAGTTTTCATAATAACCCCCCCCCATGGAGTTTGACATCAGAATTGACCCCCCATTCGTGAAACTAACAAAAGTAACAAATTCATCGCCAGATTGAGTTCTACGGAGGTTTTTACTGTATTCTCTTTTACTTTTTGAGAGGAAATACCAATATATATATAAGTTCATAAGGTTATAGTACGGATCCCATTTGTAGTTAATAATTGCACTTGTTAGCCGATATTAAAAAATTTGCCAAAAGCTTAGCTGTATGGTCCCTACATCGAATTTCTCCAGTTGGATTCCTAATTTGCTATCCCCATAGAACTTCACTCTCAGCTGTAGATGACCCAGATCCACACTTCCAATATGAATCCTCATCAATTCAGATCAAATTTCATTTCAACCTATTCAATACGGCTTTACGTCAAAGTTTAACAAACTTCGAATTTTGTACATAATAATTAAGTGTAAACAATCGTCTACACAAATTACTTGCTTTCTTATGCAAAAAGTAAAAGTAAAAGAACAATCCGTAGAACTATAATCGAAATATAACTCACTACTAAATCTGTTGTAAATAGCTGTCCCCATTCCATGCTCATATCGGGATGTAAAAACTACATAGTGTATCAGTTTCAGCAGAATTACATACTTTATAGTACATAGAATAAGGTATATTTTACATATTTTCCGATGACTCTGAGCTAGCCACAACTAGAATACAAAAGTATTTTGACGCAACATGTACTAAACTAGATAAAGTATGAAATAAATAATTAAATGTTAGTAAATTGTCTTACCATAGAAATGATGACGTTAGGATTATTTATAGTAATGATTAGAAGTTTAAATAGCCACTAACGACATATAAAATCCACATGGATGTCCATAGGACCTATTGATTCATAACTTTTAAAATATCTGATCAAAGTTTGAGAATACATAGGGGAAAAACGTACATACCTACATTGATTTTCGTTTATGTAGATACTACAAGTACTTAGTTACATTTTTTTACGATAGTAGGTAACAGAATTATCATAGAAAAGAAACCGTCCTAGGAAAGCATCTCATACTTGCCCCTATTTTTTGGCGCCAATGCAACTATGGGCAGTTAACCGCGCTCGGCTCCCAGCGCCTCTCTGTAACCTGGCGCCCTAGGCACTTGCCTAGTTTGTCTTAGGGATTATACGACTCTGGTAGCCAATACTAGGATGATAGGAGATGAACAATTTAGTAGTGTTTTATCTATCCGTTTTAAAAATGTTCTAAATCATTTGTGAATGTATTTTTGCCCGTTTTCACATACATTTGGGCGGGATATCGTCTGATACATTGTATGTTTTTTTTCTTCCCAGATCAGCATGGATAATAAGCGGCAAATGGTATTTATAATTTGTTTTATAAACTATTATAAGTACTAAGAGTTTTTCGTTTATGTAGAAAATACATTTTCATTTTTGTAGACAATGTTTTTATTCATATAAGTACCTATGTAGTTTATTTCGGTGTTAGATATCGTATAATTTGTTAATATATTTGGCATGCGGTTTAAATAGATTTATATGTATAAGTATACTATTTATTTGTTTATATGTATATTATATGTACTCATCTTATTTAACCACAGATTATATATGTAAGTATATAGATTATATCTCTGCAGAAATATCTGTGATCGTTACAATCCTCTTTTTGGATTAAAAAATTGTTGTTAACGTGATTTTTTATTTGCATGGATTAGAGATATCAACGTTATAAATGTTTAGATATAGTTGACAAAATATCCACGTTCTTCCGTATTATCCATTAGTTTAAGCAGCTTTTAAAATATAGATTTAATTTATAATTATTTAGATTACGTGTTTTTATTACATTATGATATATGATATAATCATGTTAACACCAATTTTTTTATGTAAGGAAATTAGTGAATTTCACAATTATTTCCGCAGAGTTATATTTTATTTTCATTTTAAATGTATTGTAGTTGTTTTTGTATTATTTTGTGTATGCGGAATTAAAGGGTCAATTAATTTAAAGGCTTGTTTCAAAAGTATTTCCAATTGAATATAATAATTACAGTTTTGAAACAATCTAACTAGAATAAATTGAAAAATACTAAGTTTGCAAAGCACTTTGTGATAAGTATTTTCTTTATATCTAATCACCTACATAATTATTTATTCACTTAGAACTTAGAATCTTGAAATCAATCGTTTTAAAACATTTTTTACTTGTTTCTAGTAATTTTATAGACTAGAATATTCTTTATTTACCTCATATAACAAAAATAAACCATTATAATCTTCCAAACACCCTTTAATTCGGCCATCTTGAATTAAACGTCAAAATGGACATCAGTTTTTGAATAATATACGTTAATTTGTATCAGCAGGCTTCATCAGCTCACGCGGTGCTGTCTCACTTGGGTCCACCCGTCCTATACCCACTGTATAACCAGCCCCAAGACACAGAAATATACCATGAAAACATCAGACGACATCGAACGTTTAGAAAGCGACTAGCTGAACATATTAGGAAACTAAAACTAGAAGCTGAAAAGGTAATTATTTTTAAAGGATTTAAAGTAGTTTATATTCTATTTTTATTAAAAAAGTGGCATTTTCCAGTGGTTCCACCAACGTGATCAATTCCTAACAGGTCGTAGTGTCGACTCTTATCCAAGAAGAGGATTCATTGATAGAAATAATTCTTTTCATATCTGAGAGTTTCGGAGATAATCAAGTCATGCTATTTGTCCCAAGAGATTACAACATGGGCGTATAAAACAAATCCACCAAAAGGTTATGGAAATAACCTTCGTGCTAAAATAGGGCAAACCGCAAATATCTAGAAATAATCTTCATTGCAAAAAATTGAGAATATCACCCATGCCAAAAACGGGGTAGATATAAAAAGTATTTTATATGTTTAACAACATGTGGGATACCTTCCAATGGGATTGCTTTCAATAGTTTTCTATTGGCACTCGAAAGTTTCAACAGACTCTTCTGCGATTATACATACTTTAAACATATCCCAGAACATCAAAAAGATCATCAAATTCCTTGAGTTTACACCAATATCGTTTTATATTACAGCGTGAAGATGCATTAGCGGAGGCGTACAGCAGAAGAGCAGCAGACTGGTTGAGACGAGTGGAGAGGATAGAGCAGGGACAGAAGAGGAAAGCCAAGGACGCGAGGAACAGAGAGTTCTTTGAGAAGGTCTGTCATATTTCACGTTTACTTTATTGTTGGTTTTTGGAGGAAGTCTAATTTCGGGTAAAGTATTACTGGGTTTAAAAAAAGACCTCAATAGTAGTACGGAGTCTGGAATTGTTCCCGGTATATGACAATAGGCTCACCCCCTCACATGGGACTCATAACATAAATAGTGAAAAGTGTGTGTTACATAGGACAGTGGCATTAAGTGCCGCTGCATCTGCACCTCTGCTAACCCCTTCGGGGATAAAAGGTGTGATGTTATGTTATATCTAATTTCCAGAAATACTGGGTCGAATGAAAAAAGTCCATTTACTACTATAAAATATCACGCTACGACGATCAATTGGAGGCGCCTATCAGCAGATGAAATCGCGCAAGACTAGCTTTTTTATTACATTGGGGCAGTTCCGTGTCTGGCAATAATTTTAAGTTCAGAAGTGTCTTGACGTTTAGTTATGTGTAACGAGTTACCTCAATGCTTTTTCAACCAAAACTTTAAAGCCTAAGATACTTAAAACCCCTCATATACAATTTAGGTAGCCAACTATTCTAACCAGACAATCACTCCACAGGTATTCCCCGAATTAAGGAAGCAGAGAGAAGAAAGAGAAAGGTTCAACAGGTTAGGAGCTCGGGTAAAGTCTGAAGCGGAACTGGAGGAGATCGCGGACGGATTGCACGAGCAGGAACATGAAGATAAGAAGATGAGGTCGCTGACCGTGGTGCCGCCACTACTGAGGGACCCCAGCGACACCACGCCTATTTATATTGACACTAACCGTTAGTATTTACTATTTGGATATGGTTTTTGGTATTCTAGGGATGTTGTGGCTTAGTTCCGGTCATGTAATAATAATAAATAATAAAAATGTTTATTTGGTGTAAAAAGCCAGATTACAAAATAAATCTTACTATCTAAAAAAAAGTCTAAAATTTATATGTATGTGCTGGATAGTTACATAAAAGAGTAATATACTCGAATCGAGAACCTCCTCCTTTTGTTGGAGCCGGTTCATAAAACCATTTTTGATGAATGTAAGAAGAATTCTTTATAAATTACCATTTTTGACAAATTAGTCCGAAATGGCAAATTGTGAAATGTAGAGTACTTCTAAAAAGAATTGCACGATACTCCAAAACTACTTTATAATTATTGAAAGATGTAGATTACTTTAGAATGCCCAAAAGCCACAAGGCAATCGTTAGGATTTCATCCAACCCTCTGACCTTAACTAATCAATGATTCAACCCTTATTGACTATGTAGTCAATTCAAAAAACCCTTATTGTTATGTAACAAACCAGTAAACCACATATTTTAGGCCCAAAAATCTAATTGTATTAGAAATACTAACGCAATTCTTCTTCACAGGACGATGTATGGACATGGAGGCGGAACACAAAGAGTTACAGCTTCGAAACGTTTGGTCGCAAGCAGAAAGGGAGCTCTTTCGTGAGAAGTATCTACAGCATCCGAAGAACTTCGGCCAGATAGCGTCGTTTCTACCGAGGAAGAGCGTCAGGGATTGTGTCAGGTATATAATGCGACATTTCTAGTTTAGTCTTTTGATACGATGACTTTAAAAGATAACTGCACAGTTGGTGCAACTTTGATCACCACATGGAGCAACTCTTTGTGTCATTTACAAATTGTTGTTTCGGGTCTGAGCGTCATGTGTATGTAAACTTGTATGTTTGTAAACGCACCCACTACACAGGAGAAAATCCTAGTGTGGGGCAACATTTAAAAAAAATGGTTAGATCTACCTCATTGCCAAAAGACTTGCAAGTGTAACAGGGCAGTGCCTCATGTATTCGAGTTCGATCTCCTGGTCGGGTCAACCCCCATTAAATAGCATAAACATCAGTCATAGGCGGTCATCGGTGACCGCAACCTATTGTTCTTTAATTGTGACTACAATGACGGTACTCAAAGAGTTAAGTACCTTTTTAATCACTTGATATAAATCCCCCTAAACTGGCGACCGCTTGGGGATTGATCAGTTAAATAAAGTGCCATTATAGGATGATGCGTGTCAGAAGCACCTGTGCCTTTCATCAAACGCCACTTTAGCGCTTGCGAGAGAGTAGAAAACTAAATGTATGGGTACGGCAATTCCATAAAATTTAGTTTTCTTCCTACAAGTAGACAAGCGCTAAATGGCATTTAGCTACAGCTGCTGATTTGTCTGGATTATTCTTAGACCCCTTAGAACACAAATAGTAACGTCTGTCCTCTATATTATAAAATTATAATATTATGTAAATATCGAAGTTACCTTGGAATAATGCAGCAGTTACTTCAGGTCTCTGTGATACACCCGATACGACGAATTTCAATGTTCAGTGGGCGCTACAGTAGATTAAAAGTCACAAAAGCTTTGGTGTCAGAAAACTATACCACCAACAATTTATATCTAGCTTGATTTGACCTTCTGATATGATGATGACGATGACCATGATAAATCCTGTAATACAACCAAATTACTAATAAGAACATCTTTAACAGATTCTACTACCTATCGAAGAAGGCGGAGAATTACAAACAGTTACTAAGGAAGCCGAGGCAGCGGCGGTCGGCGAGGAATCCCCCGCGGGCGCAGCCAGAGCCTGAACTACCGGCTGGAGTCACCACCAGGCTACAGCGGAGTCAGGGTTAGTTCAGCATCAGGTTATTATGATCAAGATAGGTGCATTTATCAGGTACACATCTGCTAGAGTTGAAAACTAGGTATGGATTTGATATGGACTTGAAAACTAGGTTGGATCTGTTATTAGTAAAGCTTTTTTTTTCTTATTATTTTAAACTGACTGCCTCGTTGGCCGAGTTGTCGCAAGTGCGACTGCCGGGCAATGGATCTCGGGTTCAATTTCCGGGTCGGGCAAAGTAACACTGGGTTTTAAAAAATCTCAGTGAGTAGTACTACGAACTCTGGATTTGTGTCCGGTATATGGCAATAGTAGGCAAACAGTGGTATAATGTGCACCTCTGCCTACCCCTTTGAGGATAAAAGGCGTGATGTTATGTTAATGTATGTTATATGGCAATAGGTGAGCCTATTACATGGGACTCATTACATAAATAGTGAAAAGTGGGTGTTACATTGTACAGTGGCATTAAGTGCCTTAATGTGCACTTCTGCCTATCCCTTCGGGGTTAAAAGGCGTGATGTTATGTTATGTGTACATTTACTGCGATTTCCATCCCACCTGTCAAGTGGAAGAGCCATAGGCCACTATCAAAGACTGTCGATTAATAAATAATCGTATCTTTATAGCCTGAGTCAGACTTTAGAAAGTTTAAAAAGAAGTAGATTTTTTTTTAAGACAAGTCTTTCATCCAATCTTTTCAAAAGAGTGTTGCTAGGCCAGGTAGCTTCACCTATCTAATTGATGGACATTTAATTTGTAATGTTCAAAAGTATTAAAGTGCCCTTTATCTGTTGAAACACCGGCTCGGATTTAATGTGTTTTGTACCGATAAAACACATTAAACCCGCAACTTTCAACAGACAAGTACTTACCTTACTTTAACTCTTTGAGTACCGTCATTATAGACACAATTTAAGAACAATAGGTTGCGGTCACCGGTGTGCTCGCGGTGTTTGACAGTTTAATAATAATTACGGAAACACGTCATCACAAAAAGTATGACTATATAAAAGCAAAGAAATAATATCTATCACAGTATACTTTACCCTAAATAAACACATTATGAAATTCATTACACAGTTAAATAAAATAATCTTATATTTGACAATTTTTCATTTAAATGTACCTGATGAATGCACCTGGCAGTCGCTTTACTGCGAATTATAGTGCTATCAATTGCTTGGCTTTCAATGTCCCCAACCGCTGTGATCTTGGCTAGGATGCTCACCAGGCAAATGGCATGTCTTACATTTGTTCCCGGTTGAAGCTTTTGCATGTAAAATCCGTACTCCAAGATACCAGTGAAGTCCCCCATAAATATTGGCGTATTATTTAAGTATCTATGCACGTAGTGAATTTAGTATTTTTTAAAAATTAATTCTACGTGTTTTTGATTAGTTTTTAACATTAATTTTTTATTGCTTCTTATTGGTTTTGATTGCTTTTTCTGAACACAGAACTTGTGTTACCTGCCAGTAAAAAGAAAATTTTAATGCAGAATTTTTTTTAATGATTTGTGATTCAGTCCAACTTATTTTTTTAAAGATTAATAATGTAACGTTTAATTCTTCACTTTGGATAAAATCATTATGCAAATGTCAATATCAACATGGTGATTTCATTTTGTAAAAGATTAACTGAATAAATGAAATTAAATAAAGTCATCAATTAATAACATTGGTGTCTACATTACACACCCCCAATAACAATCAAAGACATGACCCAAACATAATAACTGAACAAACAATTAACGACGCTAGCGCCTCTGGTAGTAAATTCCAGAACTCTTATTATACTAACTAACTTAACTTTAGTTTTAATGGCATAAAGTGTGGGAATGGTATATTAATACGAACGTAAAACTATTTAGCCGTCTCCCTAGGAACGACTGCGAGGACGGAAAACAAGGAGCAGAATATGGAAGAAAGTATGCCGCAGGTCACTGACCCTGTCACCTGCATACCTATACCTACTGCAGCTCCTGCGCAGCCGCCTAGGTGAGTAACCACAATTTTTTTTATATAAGTTTTATAAAGTTACCCTTGAAAATGAGTACTGTATTTTGTTTTGTATTTTTTCGTGGATTAGTCCAACAGGTTGATTATTTGATTTATAAGTGGATTTTTTTGGTTAGCTTTCAGGTATTTAGATAAATATTATAATTGATTTAACTAAAATTTATGAGTTACGTAAATATACTGAGAAAAGCTCGACTAGTTTCCGAGTCACAGAGGGACTCTACCTCATGGGCAGCGCGCGCGGTCGCGGCGATATCGCGGAGCGTAGGCTGCGACTCGAAACTAATAGAGCTTTACTCAGTATATCTACGTAAGTAAATCGTATTTTTTGGAAATTCAGTGTGTCTTACGATAGTTATTATAAAAACATAATTGATTTTTTAATAAGTTGCTGTCAAAACCTTCATTGTAATTTTGGATTTCGATACGGAGGATGGTATCTTATTTAAAATAATATAAATTAGGCTATAATATTCTACTTCTGTCAATACTACAAAATACAAATCAATCACTTACCTTAAAACTCTATTATAAAAACAGCTAAAACTATAAAATATCTTGTTGATATTGCAAACTATTACTATCATATTTGTAAAACACATACATAGTACGTAATTGTCTATTTATCGCCCTACAATAATAGTTGAACAAGGAAGATGACTATCACTGTAAACGTTAAAATATCAGTATTTACTATTATCATAGGGAAATGTACTGGATGGTGACGTGTTTCTAATGTTTCTGAGAACACATTATACTCTTCGGCGTTTAGTAAATAACAGAATGATATGCCAACAAGTACTGTTTAATGTAATTCTCTTTGAAATACTTATATTCCAGGAATTTGGCAGGCAATTTGAACTAAATTGGCCTGATTGAGATTGGTATAACTGTTATAAATAGATGATCAACTATATGAAATAGCTGTAAAGTCAGTCCATCCTGTCGAAAAATACAAAGGCGTCATTATAAATTAAAGTTTTTATCTGAAATTGGTATTTCTGCAAATACGTCATATTCTTACCTTATTTACCATAGGTGTACCTTATGTAGTAAAGCAATTGTTTGATTAACAAGTACGAATACTTCTTGATTGAAGAATAATTTGCAATCAAATTAAAAACAACTATTCCACTAGCAACACATAACCAATCAAATTACAGCAAATACCACACCACATACAAAAGCCCGCGAAAGCCGCCATCTTTAAAATAAAAACGAATACATAAAAAGAACGCAGAACAAATAGCCAGCCATCATAATTTTTCCTTCAATATCTGTGGTACAGAAATTCTGTACGATTCCGTTGGAGTCGGGTCGGGCTTTTTAATTACATCGTGTCAACATTGAGCGGTTCCCGGCCAATGAATTATTCACCGATAGCTCGGGAGAGACGGCCCAGGGTTTTTTTGCACTCCTTGGTTAAGGCTTTTTTATACATTGTTTGTACTTGTAATGTGCTCTTCACAAGATGAGGAGTTAACCGCGCTGTGGTCCATTGTCTTGAGGTGTTTGCGATTTGATGTAGTTAGCCAGTTTTCGCTGTTTGAGTCTGAACTGTTTTTAGTATATTTCATGAAAGTATTATTAGTTTATAAATCCAAAATCTGCTAAATTGTCATAGTAAACACGCTACAATAGGGTTAATTTACTCGTAAATACTACATATAAGCAACTTCTATCACAATATTATAAAAAGTTTTTACATATTCGAAAGAAAAAGGTTACTCATGTTCTTTTTTCATTTGAACACGTTTTTTGCGATAGTAAACATAGTAACATTAAAAATTCAATTTCTCCAAGTTACTTAATTCCCAAATCTAATTTTCATAAAACGATTCAAAAATTTTTCCCAAAAAGACGTATTGTTTAACCAAAGGTTCGCTCGCGGTCCTCTACTCTACTCAGGGTACAGGGCCGGAGTTAGATATTGGAATAAGACAGAATAGCATATTTTTATTATTATTTTTATTTTAGTAATGGACTTAATATATCGGCCTATTGACGACTTTTGTGATTTGCCCTAAAATATGTTTTTTGTGCATATTTAAAAAAATATACATGGGTATATCTTACATTCAAAATACAAAAGTTGAAACTAGATCAACTTCCCTGTTCCCAAAGTAAAGCGTATTAAGAAAATCCTACAGAGATTCGATGGAACGAGCCTATTTAACGAAAACTTCGAAACTCCTTTATTATAATTTACAATATTCCCTCTGATTCTCTCGGGTAGTCCGTCCCTGTGGACGTATGTTTGCACGACCACTCACTTTTATGAGCTTCAGACAATGAGAATAAGCCAATTTTTCATCGACCAGATTAATCGTTTAAAATTCATGTATTTTTATTTCAATCGAGCCGAGGGAAGAGATTTATTTTATTGCTTCTACGAACTTCGGAAGCTGGAGTTAGTTTTAAAGTGACTTCATTAGTAGTTTCCCAGTCTTTTATGGCACTTTGTGTAGCCTTTTATCCCGCTTAAGTATTCAACAAGAAGTTGGTCTTTGAGAAATGGGCTGCGAAATACATTTAAACACGAAAGTTATTGAATGTTTTTAATTTGGCACATTTTTAGGAGATTTTAAGCGATAGAAAGTTCAGGAATATTCCATTTTGAAAACATCTGTAGGTTAATTTATAATTCTGATCTCATACTCAATCGAACGAGAAAGTAAAGGGGAGTTTCGTAGAATTAATAAAGGAGAAATATGTAATAATAATGGGTGTATGTTGTGAGTGTGTTGACAATCACTTCGGTGATTATTTGAACAAGACTCCCGCGGGAATCATGGCGGCTTCAATCAGCATACGCGACGCGATCGCGCGACTCGATTATCGATAAACTTTTTAAGTAGCTGATTGGTGAATTACGATTTTTTTTGTATTACGTCTTGCTTGGTTTCTTTGTTGTCAATTAGACTTCAGAAAAATTGGCGATGCATGAAAGGAATAAATATATAGATACTAATAATTATCTGGCTTAAGTATCGTTTAGATAGGTTTAGACGAAATTTTAGGATAGTCAATACATTTTATCAAACTATACACATGCTAATTCGTATCTGACAAGCTTACAGTTTCCACTCGATACTCGTAATCGTAACACTCGTTTTATAAATCGCCGGAATATCGATGAACAGACATCACTACCGCCACCGTTTCTCCCGACACGGTTTGTTTAGATTTTTACGCAAACACAGGGCCGACCCATCTTTCTAATTGCCTTAATTAAAAGCATCTACCAATCGAGAAAGCTAAATACAAGGGAAGAGGGGGTATGAAAAAAATAAGACAGTTTCGACTATCGTTTGATTTTGTCATATTTACACATTGATGAGATGGAAGCTTCAATTTATGAAATACTAAGCAAACATATAAGGCTTTCTCGTTTATATGTGTACTTTTATGTAATCTTCTATCATTTTAGAAACGGGTAGGTTTATGCGAAGCGAAAAATAACTACACATTAATGGTTACCATTACCAACCGTTACAGAAAAAAGTTTGCGCGGCACAAATCATTCCACTGTTAACTATTGGATATTTTTTGTGCAAACACAAAGCACACGTCATAAAAATTTAAACAAATATCAAATAAAAACGTTTCACATGAAAAATGGTCGCGTATCCGCACTAGTATTCGTAAAGGGATGCGATTAATTTGATTGTTAGGTTTACCGACGTCGAGCTGTTGTTTGTCCAACGGGGTGCTTCGCCCGCGGATAATTACCACCCCGCCGACTATTAATTGGGCAAAATTTAATGATGTTCAAATACCGACGAACCGTGTTAGTTGGTGTCGGCGCGGCCATGTTTTAACGGCTACAGATTTTTGTTTAGGTTTTAAAATTTTACTGTGGAACTATGAACGGTGGCGCCTTTTTTGATCTTTTGAAGCGATTTTATCCGGTTTTTTGGTGTTGACTGTTGACGTTTGAATTTTTATAGTGTATTTTTAGGTGTTTTATGCTCTAACAACGCTATGAACATGTTATTTTTTTTAGTTTTCTATAATGCTGATTTGGGTTTTCGACCCTTCATTGCGTAAATCAAGTCTTTTCAGTGCCTTTAACCAAACGCCACTTTAGCGCTTGTCTACAGAGAGAGTAGAAAACAAAATGTACGGGGATGACACTGACAAGTGTCAAAATTTACGTCAATTCCATATTATTTAGTTTTCTATTCTACAAGTAGACAAGCGCTAAGTGGCATTTGGCTACAGCTGCTGTCTTGACGGAATGTATATGTCGCTCACAACATGAAATCTGTTCAATAACTAACTAAACTAACCCGCTCTCACACAGTACACCAAAACAATAATCCTCCATCGGCGAGCGATTAATTGAATTCTTCATTGACTATGGTCACAAATACGCCCAACCTCCCCGAGCCGCGGGGTAACCGCTGGTAATTAAAAGAGAGGCGAATTGAGCTAATTATGTTTGCCATAACTCCCCGATGCACCCCGCCCGGCCTACACCACGCTCTGATTGTGTTTTGCTTTTATAATTACTTGGTATTTTTAATTAATGATGTTAATATGAGATTAAAGAGGTGGACTAGTAAGGCTAGGGATCTGAATATGAACAAAGTATAGTCGATTTTTTTTAGTAATTGCACGGTGTTTGGAATTTTGTTGGTAATCGTAAGGCGCGGTGGCGCAGTTGGTAGCGCATGAGCGACACGCTCAAACGCGCAAAATATGTTTTTAGAGATTTACAGCATCTAAAGATCGTTTCTTTCCACAGGTCGGAGTTAACAAGAACGCCGCCTTTACCGCCGTCCCCGCCACCGGCATCGTCAGCACCGACGCCGGTGACGTCAACTCCCACGCCGCTCTCGGTGGCCGGGAGTCCGGCGGCCGCGCCGACGCCGCCTGCCGTTGACGTGCCGTTACCGCCCGCGACAACGGCAGAAGTCACGCTTACTATTACTCCTGTTTCGGTAAGTTGAAATGAAGGGAAATTCTTTTGTACAAATACTTTTAGTTACAGATTTTTATCTAACTAGAAGACGCAGTATGAGTTGTAAACAGCGTTTGGTCTACACTTTTCATTGCTGGTATCCCCTACTCGATTGAGTTTAAGAGGTCTATTGCCTTTTCAGAAAGTTCCAAGGTTTTTAGTCAATAAATCAAGAGCCTTGATTGTCATCCCTAGCCATCACTTAAACGAGACATCATAAAAATTAAAGTCTACTAAGTTTACTTAAAGTCTCAAAGCAAACTTGCTCTCATGTTAAACATCATTTCTTATTGATATCTTGTAATTTTCCTACAGACACCAATAACAACGAGTGCAGCAAATGCAACAAGTGTAGCGGCATCATCGCCGGCGCCGGTGACGTGTATAACGTCGACGGCGGCGGTGGCGGCCACGCTAACGGCACCGGCGATATCGGGCAATGCCAGTGGGACCGGCAGCGCCAGTGGCAGTGGCAGTGGCAGTGCGCCACCCACACCGCAACCGGCACAGCCACCCACACCGACACAGCCTCCGCCCACGCCGGAAACTGGTAAGTTATTTTTTATTAATAGTTCTATCGTCCTCATGTTGGTCAATGTATTGTTGGGTTTTCAACTTTAGAACTTCTCAGCTATTGACGGCTACATTTTTAGGTTATAAGACTATTTATTATAATCTTTGTTGTAATTGGTGAAGAAATCTGCAAGTGTCATTGAATATTTTCATTTTCGAAATGTTCAGTAAGGTTTGTGTCGTGGGATGATAGTAGGCTCTTCTTACGTACCCTACAGCACATTTATCTATTTTCTAAAATAATTTGAGGTCTAAAATAAGCTTAGCTTCTCTAAGGTAGTGTTAATTTCACAAACACAAACACAATCACGTCTAAAGTCTTGTTAGCTTATGATTCGATGAAAAATTATCGACGAAAAACTCTTTTAATTGTCGTTTTCCTGAAATTAGGTCGAAATCTTGCATATTAAACACTGTCACATAGATTAGGGTTAGATACAATTTAATAATTGTGTACATTATTTATTGTTTTTAAGAATTCGTCAGCACCAATAATGTCTCATTGATACTCCTAATAAGTTAGGTGCGGATATTTTAATCCCTTTTTCGTATTTAAACTGAACTACGTAATAACGAGTACATATTCACAACAAATTAAAGGTTTACGAATAGAAAGAACTTTAATAAAACTTTATATACACATTAAAGTAAAACTTGTGCCATTGAAAATTATTGCCAAATATATGTCTGTATATCACATTCGTAAATCCTTCAAAACTTTGTCTTTTGAAAAGTTGAATTCATTCGGGACGTTAAATGAAACACTTCAGCGACGTACCTTTAAACATTTATTATAACAATAGTACATTTAAACCGAAACATGGTATAACCAAGTTGGTAAGCTCGCTTGAGATCACTCCACAATACTGATATGTACGGATTCACTGCGCGGGGCGGTTCACTTGGCGGTGGAGGTGGAAGGCTCGGGCTCGGGCTCCGTGGCGGCGCTCTCCTCGGCGTGGCAGCGCTTGCGGTGCTTGTGCACGAAGTAGTAGGACGGGAACTTGCAGCCGCACGTCTTGCACGGGTAGTAGTGCAGCGGGGCGCGCGCCGCCTTGCGCGCCCGGCACGGCCAGCCGCGCTCCGGCGAGCTCTCGCGCCACGCCACGTTCAGCACGCGACTGAACTGCACCGGCCCGTCGCACGACGCTATGTCCAGCACCGTGTTGCTTTGACGCTTCGGAGGCTCAGGAGCTTCGATACGCTCAACATCCAACTCGCTGGATGTAGTGGATGAAGGCGAGGGTGGTGGTGGTGACGCTGGTGGTGAGGGCGCCCTGGCCCGGCGCGGCACGGGGCGGTGTGCCCCCGGGGGCGGCGCGGGCCTGGCTACACAGGGGCTCGGTCCCAGCCACGCGCGGTACAGAGACAACATACTCGCTCGCGGCCGCTCGACGACTGCGAGCCGCCGACACGCGACTCTCTTTATATACACCGCGATACGGCACAACTTCGCGTACAAACTTTGATTTTCAGCAGCGAATATACAATCATTTCACAGGATTATAGGATTTATGGGGAAAGGATCAGTTTTGGTGGATTGATGTTTCAACATTTGATTCGAAATGACGTCAAAGATGTAGTTTCAAACTACCTATATGTTATGCATTACTAATAATGTTTCTTATAACAATTTAAAACAATACCTAGAATTACAATATATCTTAGCTAGACCACATTTCAATCCCTTTCCCATCTTTTGGGAGTATTATACGTATTTACACAAAGTGAAATATGAAGGGTATTCGGAGACGTTCCCAAGACGATAGTGACTATCCAGGCGAGTGTCTGTGACTTTACAAACAGTTAATCCACTTACAACTCCCTTGACGTAGCCATTGACTTTGTAAAACGTCATCTTTTCAAAAATATTAACTGACAAGACAAGTATTCATAGGATTTTTTTGAATTATCCCTAAAGAGAGACGTATCTCTTTGTCTAAAGATCTTTTAAATTCAAAATGGTGTGCTTTAAGCTAATTAAGTTGACGTAACAATATGAATTTCATGTTTATTTTGTAATTTAAATCTACATTCGTACTTGAGATGATTTTTCAAGACAATTAAATAAAAAAACATGTGTCATAATTATATCTATGACAAGCGAAAATTGACAATTTACTAAATCTCATTCGGTAGCTAATTTACCAACACCAATTTTATGAGTGACTTCAAACATTGCGGTACCTTGTCTTAACAGAGGGGGACTTTATACCACGATGCCCTAGAGACCACCATTGGGTTTAATTTCAATGATGCCGTATCGCTTTGTGAGATACGACAAAACTCTTTTATTTCAATACTTTTGCATGAATTCTAGCAATTAATTAAAAAGGAATTAAAATAGTCGACATTTCGTAAAGATGCGATCGTGATAATGTAAATGTTATTTTACTACTTAACACGGCATGGTGTTCTCTGATAAACCTATTTTTTTTAATGCGATCTCCAACTTGATTGTCGATCGTGTAGATAGCAAACCCCTCTTTTCAGAGCCCAGTAGTGGACTCTCATAATCTTGTTTATGATGCACTAAACATTGACTTATAACTCAACTAAATTAAGATTGAATATTCAATAACAATAACACATTACATCACTTTTAATCACTCAAATTCCCGATCGAAACGTAAGTTAATCCGTGGTACATTAGTGCATGACGGCGTTAATCCCGAACATGGTTGACAGTGTAAACCCTAGCAGCTCACCACACACGGAATAGTAAATGTAACATCAGCCAATGCTGCCCATGCGGCCGGACCCGCTTTTGTAAGATTAACAGATTAAACGGTCCATGAGACTGCGAAACCCGCTTTGTCTTCACACCAATAATTTTCATAATTACACGGATCATCTGTGTTGTAAATGTAATCTAGTTGAAAGTTATCGTAATAAAACAACCACCCCCAAATTATATGTACCTAAGAGTTAAGGGTGATGGGTCCCTAATTTAACCCCTTAACTGTACTTTTAGATGTTACTTACAAGTAGGTACGTGAAGAGTAAAACGTCGCAATTGTCACCTATCTTAGCTTAGGGGTTCCTTAAGATTTAAGAAAGGTTGCTGAAAATTGACCTTAGACTATCAAATATCATAAACGCTAGTGTTTATGTATTTAATATGATTTTCTAATATAACTTCAAAGGGAATCAAACAGTTGGTTAAATTATGAAGTTACATTTTGCAAAATTAAAGGGACATTGACAAATTTTATAATAAACTCAACACACACAGCATACAGAAGGCATTTAATCTACAAAATGTCTGCGTCTGTTTGCGATGTAAATAAACACAGATAGCCGGACTCGTTAAATTCTCGCGCTTCACAGAACATCGGTGGGCAAACAGAGGTGACATCCCGCTCCACAGCTTGCCCACCCGTGGGATATCAAGTGTAGGAAAATTGTGTACACACATGTTTCGTTGTGTACTTTGTGTACAAATTAATAGGGGCTTAAAATTTGTCAGTCCCTGTTGGGCGCCAATAATTTGCATTATATTTATACTAGGATTTCCAACGCTATTGATTACATTATTGGTTCTAGGAATAACACACGATTCACGTCAATACTGCTTATATGTAATTCGTATATATGATAGTATGTAACCGGTAATTATATTAGTACCACGTTGGGCGCCATTCCACCAAAGCGCTGTGTAAGCTTTGAGTTGAATAAAACGTTGAATCGTGATCCAATTAGTGCTTGTGCAAATATCAGTAATTGGTCGAGTCGAGATTAATCGACGGTGCTCGACACGGATTTTGTATCTCCAGGGTAACTTTATGTAGCTTTAATGTTGGCTTATTAAAAGTATATTAGATATTATTTAATAATAACTTCTGCTTTAATCAAATATCTTTTAAAGATCATTTGGAGTATTTAATGCATCAAAGGGACAAAATAAATAAGCTGTACACTGTACGGATAGAAATTCAAGGATGTGATTTAAAATAACACAGTTTTGTGTCTAGCTGCATTTTTTGCAACCAAAAACGATACAGGGTGTGTTCAACCATTACCGATGAACTGACTCTACGGTCTACAATAACCTTAAAAAAACAAATTTTCATTGATATTTCTAGTCATTTCCAGTGTATATTTAATTCTATGTCCTAGTCACACAGTAATAGCTTGGTGGCAGTAAGACAAACGTCGTTCGTTTGCTCAGGGATTGCAGACACTAATTAGCACTCTGAGCCACGGTTGTACAGACAGACGAACTGATCGAATATTTATGTATCTGTTGTAATTGTAGCTGTGTTTATTTTGATTTAATAAGAATTGTCTTTAGGGAATTTGGGGTTGACCGTGTAGGTTAAGTTTTAACCTCTGTTATGTGGCACAATGCGTTTTCTATTGTGTTTTAACTACCGACATACAAGAGGTTAATGGCGAAGTACCTAAGTCAGTAATACACAGTAAGTCATGTATGTTAAGTCAGGACATTGGAAATCCGTAATTGGCTGTAAGAATAGTTTGTAGATATTATGTGTAGTGTTTTAGAGCTGTGGGTCTTCTGATAAAATTTTAATAAATCTATCTTACTGTAGTACTCTTTTTTATTATCGGATTTTATGTATTCTTATAACTTTCATTACATTTTCTATTAGTATTTATGACTTTTGTAAGCGTTTTGTATTTTGTGGTGATTTCAAGAATTATGTAGTATTTTTAAAAATACTACATAATTCATTACTACATACATGTATATTTAAAAATTGAATTCTCCAACCTATACTTCTTATTCTCACAACGCTTAAGAATATAAATAGATAAGCTTTTATATCTATTCTTAAATCCCTACTTATTAACAAAAACAAACTACCCATCGCCTCTGTTCACAACTAAACTGCATAAATGTAATTACCCAGCAGTTAGGGAGTTAATACGAGCGAGCACAAATCTCTTCGTCTAATAGTTAATTATTTAACTTGCACCGATGCAGTTTAACCGCCTCCGCTTCAGTGTAAACTCGCTAAACTGTTTCCATGTCGGTTCTTAGTTTTTGACTGATTTACGTAATGTATTTGGTAGATTAAGTGTTACTATGCCGATGTACTAAGTGATTTTAATCGTTTTTGTAGAAATCTTCGCATTTAAGGGACCGTTATTCTTTCTTAAATGGCGAGGGGATAGCTATTTGTGATATTGACTGATGTATAATCTAATCAAAGTACTATTTGCCTTTCAAAAATCGTTAAACAAATGAAACATGTCGACAAACGTTTCATTTTAACAAATTCACACACACGAAACCAACTCGCAAACTAAATAATAAAATCGCATAGATATTAATTGGAACGCACGCGTATGTATGACTCGACTGTAATTCAATTTGTATAACAAACAGCAATAAATAATTAAACAAACAGTGCATCGGTATCGGAACTAAATTGGCGCTAATCTGCTTTCGCTACAAATTGGCGCCCAACGTGGGCCCGCTGAATATTGCACGAGGCCCGTTCCACTGTGCCGTGATTTACGGATCATCTCGTGTTGTTCTGAATAAACTTGTTAATATGCAACTGAAGCTTGAATAATGAACTATATGGAAACTAGATTCGCGTTTGTTGTTCCCTAAATGCTTTTAACTGTTTTGATTTTCGGTGGTATCGTTTGTAGGTGAATTGAGTTATGTTTTTGTTTGATTATCGTCGTAGGTTATTATGGGGTACGACTTTAGACTAGGTCGTAATTTTTTCGTTCAACTCATGAGGGAAAGACCTACAATTCTTACATTTCACCTCGCAATTCTTCAATATTTTTTTACCTTAAGCCATTTTATTAACAACAATAAATTGTCCACAGCGGTAACAGAACGCATTGGAACACCATCTTCGACAGCCACAATCACCACGACGACGATAACAACAACATCATCGAACTGTGCCGTCTGCAACAACTCAGGGGCCAACCACTTAGTCTCAAGGTCACAGGCAGTTCACTATGGTCTCAAGGAAGAAGCCGTAGGGGCCAGGGTCTGTGAGCCCTGTCACAGTAGATGCGTTCGGTCTCGATACACCAGGTGTCCGGTCCCGACGTGTCCTGGCCCCAAGGTCAGCCCCAAAAGACTGAGGCATCTTCCTCCACGATGGCATGACTTGAGTTTAGAACAGAAAAGGCCACTTATGGAAGAGTTCGGTGAGTTTCTTCTTTTTGGTTGTTCGCGATAATATTGGTAATGCCCTAAGCAAACTGCTATGTTCAAGATTCTCATGGAAGATCGAAACGCTATTGTCAATTCCAAGTTTGATTTTTAGTCCAGATATGGCGAAAATTAATAGAAGGAATACACATTCCTTCTGCAATGTGCAGCAACTGTGTTAAATTTACTGCTTTAAGAAATTTCGAAGCTTTAAAGTGATTCTTTTTGATAATGAACAAATAATGAACACAATCTTCTTTCACAGAAATCCCAAGCGAGTTAAGCAAGTGTTGTTTCGTTTGCCACAAGACTATAACAAAGAGGTTAGAAGCGTTAGTGGAGGGAGGGTCAGCGCCGGAGCCCACGGAGGAGGAGGCGGCGCGGTTCCGGGCGTTACTGAGGGAACACGGCACCGCGTGGGACCGGATAGCTGCCGTCAGCGGCAGGACTCCGGCCAGCTTGAAGGCGTTCTACTTTACTTATAGGTGAGATATTTGTACCTTGATATGATGTATTGTGAATGGACAATAAACAAATCATTAATTGTAATTAGAATTGGGACTGTCCATGGCTTTTCTGATGATGATCCATGAAAATTTACTTAATCCATTTCAATCAACAGGAGAAAGTTACAACTAGACACATTAGTAGCGGACCGTCCAGCGTCAGCGCGGTGTAGCTCGAGCGAGGATAGTGCACTATCTTCCGCGGACACAGACACGGCCAGCGGCGGGTCCCCGGCGCGGGCCCCGCCGGCGCAGCCCGCTCCAGCGCCCCGCACCGACGCGGTCGCACCCCGCCGGCCCCGACGGGACGAGTACGACTCCTCCGCCACTGAAACTGCTGACGAGGAAAACGATGCGCCAAGCGCTAAGGTTCGTACTATATTATTGTTATTGTTCATTAGTCACGACTTTAATCCAGATCTCCCCCCTCAATGGATGTCACCCACTTGATACTTACTTCTTCATGACATCTTCCTTAATTGTCATTTACAAACGAGTTCATTCATATCAAACTTGATTAACTTCTGAAAGAATTGTTTGGTTCGTTAATTGGCATCAGAACAAAATTAAACAGAGATCTTAATGCTCAACTCAGGATATCTTCTGAAAAACTGCTTGGTCTACGTTCTAACCTGCTTTAATACGTATTTCTGCACATTGGGTGCAATAAAAATATACAACGCAATGAACTAAGAACTCTAACTGCTTTATAATCTTTCCTTCTGGCTTTGCGTAGCATACTATTTCCAATATACATGCGTAAAACATAATACACTATTAATATGTTCTTCTACAAAAAATTGCTTTTTATTTATGTGGAATACGCAACGGAGATCAGGATTACATCTCGTTTATTAATATAATAATTAATTATTTTATGTAAAAATTTCACTAGCATGTTCCCTAACTATTTGGTAAACTCATTTCATTTATATCTATTAGTACTAACTCTATATGCATGTAACATTTCATATTTCGAGAAGGCTTCCTACTATTCATACCATCATTTCATCTCTGCATCACCCAAAATTCTTAATTTGTTAGGCAATGCTTAAAAACCTAATACAAGTGTACCTTTACATCACAATAATGCGTCTGAAGTGTGGCAATTATATAAAATAATATTAATATGTACTAAGTGTGTAATTGAATTTAATTGGGGGCATCTATGAAAAGCTGATGAGCAATCATGACCAGGGAGGCCTATGTACAGTTCAGTATCTCCGGTCACCAACCTCTGGCCGGCGTGGGGCCTCACAGATAACAGAAAAATAGCTCTTAGTTCTCTAAGCTTAGCTTAATTCTCTTAGCTCTTACTTACTGGGTACTTTGGTTAGCCAAAGTAAAGGTTGTGGTAACGATGGAATTGAGGGTCTAGTAGTATCAGCATTGTTCATGCAGTAAAGAGCTGCGAGGGAAATAAAGAGAGTCTGAAGTCTTATTTCAGCCCGCTTAGAGTTCTCTGACGAAGCTGGAACAAGATGCTAGCCGTCAAACTAGACGACAACGTTTTCTAAAGGCTCTGAAGTTGGTCTGTATAGGTCGATGAAAACACCTTCAGCTTTGTCAGAGTCATACAACGTTGTTGCATGTATTGGTTATTTATTGAATGCCAATACCAAATAGTCAGACGTGCGATAGAGAACTGCGATATATCTCTAATACTGTTTACCAGTAGACTGGAAGACGCCCTAAATACAACTGAACTTGTTTCAAGTTCAAGTTTAACTTGAAGTATTTTTGGTGTCGGTACCGCAAGAGTTTTCAAACTTTATTACCAAAATGTGGCCATTTACAGCAAAGCTGATCCATAGCAACCTTAGTCAGAGCGAACAACTTTCTCTGAAGGGTAACAAGGACATCCAGAAGAGAATAAAAGTTCTCAACAAACACAATTCGTAGGATCAGTAAGCTGAAATGCCAAATGACTATGTTATCAGTAGCCAGACGGCCATGGATAGCCTTGTAAATCAACGACTTTAAAGACGGTGGCCGGAGATGGCTGGACGCGCAACATGGGGGATCGGGCGTTACACGGCAATCAAGAGGCTTATGTCCATTGGACTTGAAGCTGATATGATGACGATGATGACGATGATGCTAGTTAGAATCATAAATTTAAAGGATCATTCCTCAAGTCATTTGTAACATCATCGTATCATCTCACAGATCGTTCCCCCCACGTCAATCCCGACGGCGGTGTCAGCAGCCACGTCTTGTAGTCCGGTGACCGTGGTGTCGTCCGGCACGACCACGGTGCCGGTCGTCAACCGGATGACGGGCGCGCCGCAGACCGTGCGGGACGTGGTACTCAACCTCATTGAGATCAGCCTCACCAAGGACATGCCGAGCCAGCACCCCAGTATCAAGCATCAGATCAAGGTAGGAACTACTTCTAGTAGACACACGGACGGACACGTCACTATAATAAGGTGGATTAAGTTGTAGTTCTTTGATGATGTAAATACTAGACCGCCTCGGTGGGCGTGTGTTTGCAAGCGCGACTCCCGATAAAGAGGTCTCAGGTTCGATTCCTGGATCGCGCAGTGTTATTGGGTTTTTCTACACGGGTATGTCCCTTAGGGTAACAAAAGGTGTGATGTTAGGTGATGCTATGATGATGGAATTAACAGGATTATACACTCGAAGTGGACCTTCTCGTCATGTTGACTATGTGTAGGGCGGATGTAGTCGCATATTTAGTTGGCGCAGTATAGCAATGATTGTCGTTGTAATAGTCCGGTGCCCCGCAGGTGACGTCAGCGTGCGCCAGCGGGCGCGAGGCGCTAGCGACGCTGAGCGTGGTGAACAGCTCGCACGTGGGCGCGGCCGGCGCCGCCAGCCCGCAGCGCGCCGCCACCATCACGCCCGTCGCGCACGTGGCGCCCTCCAACGACAAGGACGTCATGCTGCTACACATCGAGCCCCGCCCCGAGCGGCCCGAGCGGCCTGAACGGCCCGATCGGCCCGAGCGACACGAACAGCTTCTAATACGGCACGAAAGACATGAACCGTTACTTGATCTGAGCGTCAAACGGCCGAGGCATGATCAGCCGTTCTCACATCCTAATAAGTCGGTTAGTATACGACATTTATTTACTTACAAAGAAACTATTAAGTTGCGGAACGATTTTTGTCATTTGCGCAAAAAATATGACTTCCAGAATTTTCCTTAACCTTTAAATTTATTTTATTTTATTGTATAGGTATCTACACAAGTCCTATAATTTTACTAATCCACGCATCTCCTCCTTCAGGTATATCGAAACTCAACAGAATACCGGCCGCAACAGGAAAGGGAATCTCCTAATCAGTACAATTCCAAGCCTAAAACCGTCGGAGCGCCCCCGAGACCTCAAGTTAAGGCGTCACCTAACCCTAAAGGCTCAATAACTCTTGGGACCCCAGTGGAAACGAGGTTCGAGCCTCATAGAAACCCTCCGGAGCCCAAAACGGGGTCCATTACAGCTGGGACCCCGGTACATCCTCATCACTTACCTGACAAGCGAACCCTGGAGTTCTACAAGAGAAGAAGTCCAGGTGGACCTGCGGCGTACTACGCAGCCACCAGTAGTCAGCCCAGGCCGCAATCCCCTTCATTTTCACCTGTAAGTACTTTCAATAAACATGTAAAAGTGAATTTTTGTCACGTTTTTACAGCGTCTACCAAGATTTGACCCAAATTACCACTGTTACTGGTTGGTAAAGGGCAGATAACAGTTTCACAAGATCACTATTATATTTGAAACGAGCAATATTAATGCCTGATAAGAAATCCCCATCCCCTAAATTTCCAAAAGGTCAGCAACACACTTGTAATTTCCTCTGGTGTGGTTTTCCATTGGCGACGTTGATTGCCTACCATCAGGTGATCCGTCTGGTCGCTTACCGATCACATGCCACAAAAGCAAGTATAATATTTTTTATTTTATTTACAGACCGGCTATCCTCGAAACCCTTACGGGCCAGAACAGCGCCAGATAATCATGGCGGACTTCATAACGTCGCAGCAGATGCACGGTGGGGCTCGACGTGAGCGGGAGCGGGCTGCCAGTCCTCAGTACCGCAGGGATGCGAGGGACGCACGGGATGCGAGGGATGCAAGGGACGCCAGGGATGCCTCCGTCATACAGAGGCATACACCCCATGCATACCATGCGCATCCACATCCGCCACCTGGTAAGTTACGCTAAATATTGTATTCATTTATCTTTCTTTACAAAATGATGAATTTATATGTTTTGTTAACGGAAAGGTTATATTTTTGTAGGGTTTTTTTAAGTCATCTATTTCAAATCGAAATCCACAGGACTAAGATCAATTCCTACACCGAAAATTTATTTATGATCTATCGTTATGCCAGCACTGGGTCTGGTCTGGTTTTGTTTGTGATACTTAAGAAAAAGGTGAAAAATATCGCGTATTTTCACTGACAGTGTTTTAAAAGTCATAATTATATTATGAGCCACTTCTAAATTGAATCTTATTCTATTTATACAGAAGAACGCGCAGCATCTCCGCAGTACCGACAACGTGATGCTCTATCAGTAATACAGCGCCACTCTCCGCAACACGTCTATCCACACCAGCATCCGCAGCCGCCGCCAGGTAACATACAAACATACATACATACATACATACAAACATACAAACAAATTTACGTTATAATATTCTCACCAAAATGAAAAAAAATCATTTAACGCAAATACATCTAACATTAATTTTACACATTTCGAGTATGCTCGATTAATTTCGAGCGTCATTGACTAAGAGCCCTATTATGCCTCGAAACTAATCGAACATCCTCGAAACATTACACGTAAGTTATCTGTTATTGAACCTTGTTTTTCAACGTAGGACACGAAGCATTCACATCGCTAGTGGACGTGGCGTCGGCGGCGACAGCTCTGCCAGTCCCCCGCGGGTCACAAGCGGAGGGCAAGCAGGACAACAAGCAACAACAGCAACAACAACAACAGCAGCAACAGCAGCAGCAACAACAGCAACAACATCATGACCTCAGGTGAGAAAAATGAATGACTTGATCAAATATTTTTTGTAACAACGCAAGCGTTAACAACTATACATTTCGTCAGTTCATTTTTACGTAGATTTTAAACATTTCTAAGATAAAAACCATTAAATAATAAAACAGATTAAAAAATCATTTTAAGGAAAAAGATATGTATATAAATTAATTTGAAATTGTGTTCGTTCCACAGGTTTATGGCGCAAAAATTCCCTCTTGGCTCTCAATTCACAGTGAGTATTATAAATAATTTAAATATATCATTAATATATGATTTTTTGCTACTAACATTTTTAAAATACGTTCCGTAGTTGTATAAAAAACGAATAATTTTTGTAATATTGCAGCAAATGATGGACAGAAGAGTACAATCCCAACCACAGTACATAGAGCGAGACAGACAGCTACAAATGCAGAGACGAGACGCGTAAGTATACCATTTATACATGTAAACAAACTAAAAATCCCGGGTCACTCACGTGAAAATACTGTGAAAAACTACTAGTTTTGAACCACAGAGGGGTTCTTCCTTGTGAGCAGCGTGCGCGGTTCCGGCGATGTCGCGCAGCCTACTGTAGGCTTGAAAGTTGTAAAGCTTTAGTTTCAGTATTTTCACGTGAGTAAACCGCGATTATTAGTTAATTCAGATTTATTACATTCCTAACCATCGAAAATTAATCAACTGCCATTATTTACTTCCAGCGAGAGAGCAATTCATGCGATACAAGAGCGACAACACGCGCTGGAGCAACACCAACAACACCAACAACACCAACAACACCAACAACACCAGCAACACCAACAGAGCCAGCACCAACCTCACCAGCCCCACCACCAGCCTCACCACTCCACGCCCGCGCAGATACTGCACGACAGACATCACATGCAACACTCCATTGTAAGTATTAGTTTTAACTTTACACTGTTAGAATCAACGCTGTATAATTTACAGCAAATTAAATTCAATAGATACTTATCTTGAAATCATAAAAATAATTTTCTATGCGCCCGTTTCATTACTTAGTACCGAATAAATAGAACATTGGGTTGGGCAAATTATTACTGGGTTTTTAAAAAATCTCAGTAGCAGCACGGAGTCTGGAATTGTGCCCGGTATATGGCAATAGGCTCACCCCCTATTACATGGGACTCATAACATAAATAGTGAAAAGTGGGTGTTACATTGTATAGTGGCATAATGTGCACCTCTGCTACCCCTTTGGGGATAAAAGGCGTGATGTTTTGTTATGGTAGAAGTCATTAGTGATATTTCAGGTTAACTTTTTTAATACACCTGTAGACATAGAATTTAGGTCCAAATTATAAGATGTAGACAATATTTTATTTAATTTCATTTCGTATGTAATGCTCAGCGACTTGACAAAAAATACGTTTTAATACATGCGTCGTACGTTACACCGTACAGCACGCGATGCAGGAGCGACAAGCCGAGCAACAGCAACAGCAACAGAAGCAACAGCAAATGATACAGGACAGACATCAACATATTATGGTCAGTTTACTTTACTGACTATATTCGCTTATTTTCTTATTATTGCCGTTGTAAATGCAACTTTACGTTGAATGTCTTATGATTTAAATTGAGTTGATGACTCTACTGACGAGAATTTTACTAAATTAATACTTTTAAATGTTGGGTATTAATATACAAAGAGGTTTGCGGAGCAACAGAATACAGATACCGGGTATGGCATGGTCTGAAACCTTCTAACTTGGATATTGTTGTTGTACACTGTATGTTGAATGTCTTTCAGTTGATTTAATTGCTCTATTGACGAGTATTTAGTGTAATTTTTTGATATACTTAAGATAGGAATACTGACCTTCGTTACTGGTACCTCAAAAAAGCGTAATGTTATGAATTATAGAGATTAAGATGTTATAGAAAATGAAAAGCGCAAGGGGATCTTAGCTTATTCTCTTAGCCCATGAAGTTTGAGGTTTTAGATAATTGAAGGTTTTGCCACGTTAATATTTGACTGCCTCGTTGGCCGAGTTGTCGCAATCGCTACTACCGGGCAAGAAGTCTCGGGTTCGATTCCCGGGTTGAGCAAAGTATTACTAGGTTTTAAAAAAAATCTCAGTAGTAGCACGTAGTCTGGAATTGTGCCGGGTATATGGCAACAGGCTCACCCCCTATTACATGGGACTCAAAACATAAATAGTGAAAAATGGATGTTACATTATTGTACAGTGGCATTAAGTGCCGTAATGTGCACTTATGCCTAGCCCTTCGGGGATAAAAGGCGTGATGTTATGTTTATTTGTCGGTGCCATTGTCAGGCTGCTTACTTACTGCTTAAATATATTTCATTTACTGACAGTATGGTATGTATTGTTACAGAGCGTATCCTCGCAGGATGGAGAGCGTCGCATGATCCAGTCAGTGACGTACAGCACGCCGGGTAAACCCAGGGCGCAGACACCGCATCATATCGACAGGAAGGATGCGTGAGTATTTTACTTATTGTAGTTTAATTTGGTATTTATATTGTTTATGTTACTTTATTTACCTTCGCGAGACATACTAAATTAATTATTCTGTTTCGGCTTGTTTAACGAGGAACTCGATTAATTGGGTACTTTCCTTAATCAAAAATAAATTATTTCGACTGTTCAATACAATAAAATACTAAAAATAATCACACTTTCATTAATTGATTTTATGACTAACTTAATTTTAGTATTTTTTTAGCAAATTTTTAAGAAAAGAGTTTGCTCTTTGACGCTAAAAAACCGTGACGTCACAATACACAGTCTCGTACAAAATTATAGAAAACTGTCGTTTTTTTTCAGTTAGAAAAAAGTATTAAATTTGACTATGGCAAGTACCCAATTAACATGTCTTGAAACATGTAGGTAGAAACTTAACATAGCTTGAAACTAGTCGAGTTCCTCGTTAAACAGTTACGTGAGTAGTAATACCAAATTAATTATTATGTTTCCAAACCGGAAACAATGTTATTCGTGATGAATCTTTTTGTCTAGAGGTAAATTTGTTTTCTGTCAATTTGTTTACCAAGCTACTGCGATTTCCGCAATGTGTGTTCGTCCATTTTTTATTACTTGGTGCTAGTAAATATTAAGATAGTACTGACCCAATAGGTTTAATAGTTAACCTACCTGTTAGTCAGATAATTTCTTAAAGCTTTATATTAACTCGTCGAGTACCGTATTTATAGACACAATTAAAGAACAATAGGTTGCGGTCACCGGTGACCGCTTGGTGTTCGACAGTTTAATGTAAAAATAATCAACTCAATGAATAACTCCTCTACAATTTCGAATGTTCACTTTATAGAAATGAAAACAAATCAAACTAAATGTCATATGAACATAGGCCAATGTCAAACGATTTCTTGATTTAATCCCGTACCTATCTCTCTACAGACAACTGAACTACATCACAGCCTCTTTTGACACAAAAGACCGAACATTTTCCATTTTCTTTCTATATCAATATTGCTTAAAATTCATATTTGTTTCCCCAGTCGCACAGTGGTGTCGACAGTGGCAGTGGCGGGCGCGGGCGCGGCGAGCGTGGCGGCCGGCGTGGCGGCGGACGGCCGCCCGCGACCCGCCGAGGGGACGCTCACTGCCGCCTCACTCATTGACGCCATCATCACGCATCAGATCAGCCAGAGCTCCGATCAGAGGTTCCCGGTGAGTACCAGTTTATATTCCTCACTTTAAACACCTTGTTTGTGAACAATGTTTATACAAAATGCCAGAACGCATTCCAAAAATTAAGATAATTAGGTATTACATATTCATTTGTATTGTTTCTTGAAATATCCCTTTGTTAAGCGCGGAGATTATTTGCGGCACGGTTTTTAAATGTTGTACAAAAAACTAACATCAATTTATCTATCCAGCAACAACAGGAGCGAGTAGAGCGTGCAGTGAATGTAGGCGTAGGAGTGGGCGGCGGGGGCGCGGGTGGGGGCGCGGGTGCGGGCGGGGGCGCGGGTGGGGGCGCGGACGACGCGGCGCACACGACGTCCATCAAGCTGGGGGACCTCGCCTCCAACATCATCACCAGGGACTTCTGCAGCCCCACCACCTCCGTCATGCATCACAAGTATGTAGTTACTACGATTTATCACTTATTCTTTGTCAAATTATTTTGCTTCTTCTTTTTAACTACAGTTTTTGGAACCCCCACTTCTAATACTATATGAGATTGAGACGCAGTGGAAAATACTCTTGTTTAGATCTGAATTTGATGGGAATTCTGTCTAATCTTTCTTTCTCCTAGCCAGTTCTCACTTAAGGTTTATTCAATTCAAAACTACTCTAAAGGAAAGTTTCTAACAAGTAATATTGTTTCCAGCAACAGATTCAACGTGGGTAACTCGGAAGGCTACGTGGCTGGCGGCGCGGAGGAGTGGAAGCGACGCGACGCGCCCAAGCACGCGCCGTACCTCGAGCCTGTCAGCCCGCCTGATAACCATCCTGCCAATAGGTGCTTATGCTTACTACTATTTTTATATATTTATTTGTCGGTTTTTTATACTAAAATGTTTGCCTAAATTACATCTAAAAGTTGACGAGAAATTAACAAAATCTACTGCTTCGATAACTACAATAATTACTTATGTTTCCTGGTGGTTGTGATTTTCATAATAATCCGTTTAGTAATTTTTGAGCTAACACGAACAAAGGCGGTAGGGGAAACTTTGTTTTGTAATTTACAGCAATTGACACAAAGTAAGAAGTGATTTTTTTTCACGACTACGTAACGAGATCTTAAAACTATGTATTTAGGGAATACAATCTCGGTCTACCAAGTTTTAATGAATAATGAATATATACTATTTGTTACAGAAACAACAGCAACCGTCGCTACAGCTGCGTGGGCTCGTCGTCCGTGGGGGGCGGCGGGGTGGGGGGCGGCGGGGGCGGCGGGGGAGTGCTGACGGCCTTTGATTACGTCACCAACCGCATCGTGGAGGTCATGCGCTCCGACGCGGACGAGCGAGCCAAGCCCCTCGCATTCCCTACTACCGCGTACGCGTACCCGTACTCCGCGCTCAATGTACAGGCTGCTGGGGATGGTGAGTTTGAAGCTTGACATTTTTCTCTTAACTTTGTTTAAATGATTTCTCTTTAAAGTAAAAAAGCGTGTTAAAGCCGTTTCTATTAAATGTAGACAAACTTGAATTTATTTCAATGTTGGTCTCAACACATCACACGTTTGTGTGATGTGTGATATTTGATAATGATTACTTTCATTAAACAGTTAAGATCCACAAATACTATTTGTTAATAATTTGTGTACTAATATAATATTTTCTTCTCCACAGCTGCACCAAACAGCACGGCCCCTAGTACGTCAGTATCGACCCCCGCGCCCCCGCCGCCCCCGGAGTCGGCGCCGCTGATGTCGGCGCAGTACGAGCCGCTGTCAGACGAGGACTGACGCCCCGCGCCCCCGGCCCCCGCGCCCCCGGGCCGCGCGCCCCCGCGCCCCCGCGCCCACCCCGCCCCCGCCTAGCCCCGGCGCTGCTCCGTCATCACGCGCACGCACTCGACTACAGATTGAAGACCGCCGTCAACATACAACATTCAATATTCCAACGGACAGTGTAACGGAGTGAACCAGTGCAGTGACAGTGTACGGAGCGGCCCAGCCAGGACATACCCGGGTGCACGAGCCGTGCTACCCGGCTCTATACTTTCCATGTTTATTGTTTATGTAAACTCATGTAAATACGTACGAAGTTTTTTTACAAACTGATTCTTATAGTGACGTGTAGTATTCTGACAAAAGACATTGAACACAAAGTATCGATACTGACGTACTGACGTACTGACGTACTGGGTGCATTTCGTGTGATCTCGGTCTACGTGGGAGTGCAGACCTCGATGTAATCGTGTATGTATAGACGATGGTACTAAATTGTATATTTATATCTTGTTTTGTAATGCAGGGATTAAATACCGTTCATGTGTTGTGGGAGAGCTTTAAATGTCCGGTAGTAAGCGATTTGATTGACGATCACGTCGGCGGCACGTCGCGTCACGTCCGCGTTACGTCCGCGTCACGTCCGCGTCACGTCGCGTCACGTCCGCGCCACGCACGTGGCACTCGATACGCTTATGAACATTATGCTGTCGATTAGTGAGAATACGATTATGAATTGTTATTTATTTAGTTACGAAGATGTTTCTGTATTCGGTCGAGTAACAGTAGTGGGGCGCCGCCCCGAGCCAGCACTGCCGCTAGTGACTAGTGTCCGCCGCGCCCGCAGTGCGGCGGTACAAACGTTGTAATCCAGTCTTCCATCGCCGCTCCGACAGTAGGCGCCGCGTGCTCCGCGCCATTCGTCCATGTATGATGTATGAAGTAGCCGCACTAGAGCACTAGCCCTGTATATTTGTACAGTGCGACCTACGACCACTATATACCTTTTGTATTGCTTCGCTTCGGATTTCGCTGTCGCCTCATCCACTAGGTTAGAGTACGCGTAGTTGAATTGATCATTTGTTACTTTCGTATTGTAAATACCATTATGTCGTTCGTTTCATGTAAACTTTGTGTATATCGGCCCGCCACAGCGAAGTCCGGAACGGTCTCCGAGCTGATTGAAATCGAAACTACTCGACTCGGGAACTGTCTACACCCTTACTATATATATAGCGTAACGTTAACGGAGTAGCGTAAGTTATATAAATTATATACATATGTAAAAGTGTATGGTTATTATGTATATGCATTTGTAATTATACAGGTTAGCTAAGAGTTGAATTAGAGATTTGATTTGGTTTTTTAGTTAGGAGGGCCCCCGAGGCCGGTATAAATATAGCGGGAGAGGAGAGCGCCGCCGCCGCCGCTCCACGAGCCGCGCCCGTGCGGGGGCTGCGCCCTGCGGGGCTCCGCCACCCACCGCCGGAGCCTGTCCGTCAGTTTTATGACTACCTCCCTGTTGTATAAAGCCTACCCTCCCGACTTCACTATAGTATTAATGTAGGCGGGTACTGAGCAGCGCGCGGTGTTTTTGTAAATGTTTTCGAGTTATGTGTAAAAAACGACTGATTAAATTTACTTTGAGCGAGTGTATGGGTGGCGCGGCGGCGGTGGCGGTCGCGAACACATTGTGATTTCTTTATAAAACGTTGTAATGTACTGTAAGTAGCCCAAGAAAAAAAATAATCCTGTAAGTCCGAACATAAGCGAAAAAACAACTTCTGGGAGGACAAATCAATAAAATAAGATGCAAATCTAACGCCTGAGTTTTATTTATATCGTCAGACGCAATCTGTGTTGACTGCAGCGTTGAGATATATCTGACGAGCCTGTCTTACGACTCCTCATCCTCCCGCTCTATGATAACAATAATAATCTATAATAATAAAAGTACACCAACCACTATATCCGCTGACTAGTGGCCTGCCAGTCGCTGTACTAATGTACCTGTTACCTACTATACTATACTATACATGCAATGAAAATGATTTTATACATACATATACAAAAATAAAAGATTTTTTACGTTTTCTATATTTTTATTACCTGCGTCTACGTCTAAGATTCTAAAATTACGATATGGCTGCAGTTTTAAGCGAAGCATTATTTCTACATAAATATAATAGGACGCTGGTTATATCTCAACTCAAAGAGGTAGGCAGAGGTGCAGTACACCTATTATTTATTAGTTATGTTATAGTTCCATTGTCACAGGAGGCAAGCTTATTGGTATATAGTCATTGGCACTACCAGGATTACTTTCAAGGAGGTACAAATCTTATGCTCCCGGAACTTTGGTCCAATTTAAATAATTCTTTTTGTGTTGAATAGTCCATCTATCAAGCAAGGCTATAGGCTACAAAACATCACGCTACGACCAATTGGAGCCGAGCAGAGCTGGTACAACCGTGTAGTAATAGCTAGTTACAATTTAAAACAAGTTTATCAAGAACCTTTCGTTTACCTAATATAAAGCCCCTAGGTGGACTCTAGCCTTTTTCAAGTGGACTAGGACATTCTAACTCAGGTTAGAACTGGTTAGGTTAACTCAAGTTAACCTAGCCCCGTATTAAAGATTTTAATATTCATCATTTAGATATACGGCCCAAGGGCACTTCCATCCCACCTTGTTTTACGGAGGTGGATATATAGGGGGATAAGGATATATTTGATGCATACATTTTTTTACTATGTGCAAGAAGTGCAAGGGGGCGCCCTTGCATTCTGCTGCCAGCGTCCATGTTCTAGATTCCATAAATATAAGCGTTTCTTTATCTTTTTTTATACTACTTGATAGGTCTACGTATCTAATATACTAACAAGCAGCTATTAATTAACACTTTTCTCTTTGAAGAAGTTGAGAAGCAGAGTGAAGTAAGACCATGCAGTTTTGATAATCTGGAAGGAAATGAAAAAGAAAATTATTTGGTAACTGGTATTGTTGATGTAGGTGTTTCTAGAATATTAATAAAAATCTAGTTATATTACCGTGCTGTAACTGGCGAGAGAAATTACTGAAAATCCGTGTGTCGTCACGTAAATACCCTTTTGAGCCCTGAAAGTTGTATAAAAGCTATTTATTTCAATATTGAAAATTCATTTAGAGTTTTACAAAAACGAACGGTACTTCTAACGGTACAAAGAATCTTTTGAACAGAAATGTAGCTTTGTAGAGGTGACGAAAATCGTGAGTTCACCTGTGCAACATGATGAGCACAGCACTCCTCGCCCTCTTTGAAGAGTTGTACCAACCGCAGCCATATAGAGCGTCTGCTAGTCGCTGACTCTATTATAAACAGATAAAGAAACAGTAATAAACTACTGATTTTAGAAAGAAGTTGTAAATATATTGATTATAGAACATTTTGTACTTAATGTTTTCCTCGAGAAATGCATTGGAAGAGAGATATTGTAAAAAATACTTATTAGATATTATGTATATTACAAAAAAGCTGTCTAAATATAAATTGAAGGAAATTGTGTGTAGTTTAATTTTGTAGTCAATGTTTGCTTCTAAAATGGACGGCAAAAGAGATATGGCAAAAAACTGTGTTGACCGACATTCACCAAGATGGCAGCGCGAGCGGCGCGCGTAAGAGGGTGCAAAATGGAAATCAGAAAGGGCACATCCAAAACTACAACATTACCAATTTTCAAAACTCCCGGACACCATACCAGGTAACCCCCTTATTTTCTTCTTAATGATCGAAGTTCTGTAAAGTGAATAAGAAATATTTCTCACAGAGTCGATGAGCTTCTGTCCGTACCAGCAGAGCAGCCAGGTCTGTGACAGTGCTGTCACTAGGAACGACTTGTACGCCACCTCGTTCCACTTCTCGATCAACTATGTAACAAAATCATTGCTGATTACGACTTAGGATTACAAGAGAAATTAGCTAACTAACTACAATTAAAATGGATATTTATCTAGTACGGTGGCCAGCTGTTCAAACTATCCTATTAGTCAAATTTATCTTCAACTTTTTTGTATTAACATAAAAGCGATAATCCAATAAATAAATTTGACAGAACAGTGTAGGTTAATCTGCTGCCACTGTACCTAGATAATGGTCAAGGGTCTACTCACAACACAACAAAACCCGCAGAAGCAGATGATGATGGAGCTGTTCATGAAGTTGATCAGCAACGCCAGACTGAACATATTCTCCACGTCACCCGTCAACCTGAGGAGGATTAATTTGTTTTTGTATTTTGCTCAGCACAGCGAAGTGTTTCTTTACATTTAGCTGTTTTTAACTGACCACAGTCAGCGTATTTTTTTATTTTGTAGCTTTGAAGAGAATCCTTCGATCCTTCTCACTTTGGGTTCAGAAATCTGCTCTGCTACGTGTTTGAAATTTTGGATCTTGAGTGTCACCTTCTGGTAGCTTAGCAGCCAGTACGTTTACATGCTTAGATAGGCCAGACCAGTCCCAGACTAAGGTCTGGTATTTGAGACTTCTGGTAGCTATTTCCTATTTCACAGTTGTTAGGTTCAAATCTCGGAGAATGTATTTGTTACTTATACAGTTTAGGATTCATTCTCATAGTTTGAAACCTTTCCAAGATTTCGATGTCAGTATTTAAAATTTAAAAACAGATTTTTTAATTTGCTAGGTTGGCAAACGAGTATTTGGATCACCTGATGGTAAGCAATCGGCGCCAACAACGGCACTTATAAGTGAGTTCGCTTTTTAGAGGTTAGGGATTTGGGGATTGGGGGATTAGAGAGGTCGGGGAAGTCCTGCGTAAAAGTAGAATTTAAACAGCACCTATTTAATTACATTGGTTTGTCCATTAGGAGTTCGTACAGATTCTGAAGAGTTGAGAATATTTGATAGTGACCTACTCTTACATTTGATGCCTTATCAAGACCTGAGATTATGCTTACCACCTACCTGATCAAAGAATGATGTCGTAGAACAATTTCAGTGATCTCCTTCTGATGTCTGGCCTCCCAGTACTGAGCGCCATACGAGTTCACTCGCTCTCCCTCGGTTTGAATGAACTCCCTGCTTACAGATGCTGCAAATTCACCGAAGACTTATTGAAAACTAGAACTTTTGTAGAACATATAAAATACAAATTTCATTGGGAGAGATCCTTGTTTAGTAATGGTCATCTTGCTTGTGGTCTGAACTGGTATTCGAAACACAAAAGGTTTGATTAATGCCTGGAGATGATTGTATCATTCAGTTTCTTTTAAAATCCTATTAAAACAACATTTGTGATAGTGATAAGTCATTTATTTATTATACTTACCCATGGGATAAGAGCGGACGAGTTGGTTGTCCACCTGAACGTAGAACAGTCTCTGTACCCTCCTGGCGAGCAGGTCGAACTGTGTGGTGATGTGGCAGAGGAACAGACAGAACAACATGTCCCACGCCACGTTGAACCAGATCACCACCAACGCTAGTGATTACACAACAGTGATAAAAGAAAAGTCTACTCTAGGTTTCAAAGAATCGGAGCCGCGAAAGATTTAACGGGTGGCCGGGGCTTCGGCTCGAAGTGCAGAAGTAGGAATGGGGTGGTTTTTTAGTCAGTCTAAGTGTGACACTCCTCTGCTGCCCGGGCGGGAGAAGTAATTTTATGATTTTCCCCCTCAAAAAAGGGATCAAAGAAACAGAGCCACTATTCACTCACTAAACGAACACGCTAGCATTTTCGTTTTCATTTCATCGAACCTTCTATACCTTAATTCTTTTTACAACAAAATCCTCTCATTTGGAAGATAACAAAATTGCCTTTTTTTAAGGGATAAGCCGGTTAACGAACAGACGGATCACATGATGGTAAGCAATCGGTGTCGCCCATAGACACCTTGAACACCAGAGGCGTTACTAGTGCGTGCCTTTTGGGATTAGAAATTTGAAGATTGTTGGGGATTCAGGGATTGGGGAAGATGAAGGGGAAGGGGGGATAATTAGGGCTTCAAGAACCTCACTCACACGACGAAACAAAACGCAAGTGTTGTTTAACAACTTTTATGTTGTTAAAGGTCTATAAAAAGGTCTATAAAATACACAATTTAATGTTAAATGTTACGAACCAAAATTTAAAAGCGAAAAATACTAAAAAACACAACGTTACCAAGTTTTTAAAGATTCAGCGTCATCTATCGCTAAGTAGTGTAACTACTACATAGACACCAATGAGTAATTCGTTGACTTATAAAACCACAAATAAATGAGTCGAAAAGTACACCGAATAGGTACCTTTAACAACCTATAATATATAAAATACACAATTTAATGTTAAATGGTAGGAACCAAAATTTAAAAGCGAAAAATACTTAAAAAACACAACGTTACCCTGTTTTATAAACACTCAGCGCCACCCATTGCCAAGTGGCGTAACTACTACATAGACACCAATTTCGTGTACCTTTAAGAACCTAAAATCTATAAATGAAATAAAATGTTTGAAACCAAAATTTAAAAGCGAAAAATACTTAAAAAACACAACGCTACCCCGTTTTATAGACAGCGACTTCTATCGCCAAGTAGAGTAACTACTACAGTGACACCAATTTCGTGTACCTTTAACAACCTAAAATCTATAAAATACTCATGTAAAATGGTTGTAACCAAAAGGAGAACGGCAGATTTTGTACCGCTTCGCTAAAAAAAGATTTGTCATTAAAAAATTGGATCATTATAGAACCTCCTAAGTACGTTATGTTAGCATATTTAATAGATTTTTAGAACTTGGGAAACCCTAGAAAAACTGATATTCAATAATGATAAAAATCAATCCACTAAACGTAAAACGAACCGCGATTGACGTTTACAAAGTTGCCATGCGTAAAAATGAAATCAGAGCATATTGAATTTCGCTATTTCATAAACTCATTTATTTTAATATCTATCAATGAAATATTTTCCTTTCCATTTCAAACATTTTTATAAGTAAATATAAAAATCTACATCCAATCTAAATCTACGTCTACATGGATTATTAATGATAATATTAACATTTTAACAAACTTGAATATGGCAATGTTGAACTGGCATTTGTCTTGATGACATTGACAATTAATTTGTCAAATGTCAATACTGGCGCATTGCTGTTTGTTTCAAATGCGATGTTATGATGTGTTTGTTGAATTTGAAGTTATTTTATTCATCTGGTGATACGTTGAGTTTGGCAACCGTTCCTCCGTAGCCCAAATTGGTGTTATTGGCATCATTTTGTGACAATTGCGAAAAGACACTTATTTACATTATTTTGTGCATAGTGTGTTGTAATTTGTCGCGATGATGAATTTACAGTGCATTAATTGCATTCAGAGTTTGTCGCACATGAGACGGCATGCTCTAGGAAATGAGAGTAAAGATTAGACGTGGTCAACAATATCCCATTGTGGACTTATCCTAGAGATGTAAGTACCTAGTTTACCCATAACATATCGAAAGTCACCATGTTGCCTGAATAAAAGAAGGCGCATAGTGTTATCTACCCATAATATATCATTTTATTCTTTTTATTCTAGATCTCTCCTACCGACCATATTTGCAATGCTTGCTGGCAATTACCAATGTATCGGGATGTTGCTGGAAGTACATATGTCCAGCAAACAAATTGGTCACCGGCATTTTTGTGTCGTATATGGGTGATTCATTGCAATGATAAGGTGACGCAGGGTTTTAATTGAAGGCGCCAACAAACAGGAGTAAACACTGGCTCATATAGTATTTGATTGGATTCAGCCACAAGAGGTTATAAAGCACAATTTAACCATACTATTATCTATATACAGTGTAATCTAAAGTCAATATCATATTCTAATAATATTACTTATTTTAGCTTAGCTTAGCATGATGAAGATCATGTTCCATACTGACTGAGAGACCGTACAAGAGCCGAAACTCTAAAACCACAACCTGACATACCACCTCACAGTGTTCACTATCAGGAAATAATGTGTTATGTAAACATGGACTAAGCCTCACGTCTTTAACATTGCCATTTGTAGAACAGATGAGGCCGGAAGATGTTGTTTGGCTCTCAAAGCTTCAACAGGTATGCATTCTCATTATAATGTACCTACATAATTATGTATCTATGTGGAGTATATAAGCGGTGTCTAATAGGTTTATACTCATGTTATAATTATAATTTATTAATTAGCATGCTGTTCGAGCTCCTAAGATCTGTGTTATACGAATAACTATAATAAATGTTATAAAATTCAAGTAATGTAATCAAATATTTTTTTTATCTTTTCCTTTTTAAGATAGGGAATCAGACATATTATTATAACATATAAAACTAAAGGAAAAAAAATGTACTTTTGTTTACTTTATTTACAGTTATCTTACTTGTTTACAGATATCAGCAATTGATGTCTGCTGTACCTATGACACTGCCTGTTCTCTTTTTAGATGAAGTCTTAGTAGTCCTAGAAACAACCTGAATACAATGAAATAAAAGTATTTCAAAATAATACATTTGTTTTATTTTAACCTAGTAAGTAACTATATATTCCATCTTGATAAAAGTGATTTTAAGAATCAATCTATAAAATAAATGCCATATTTAATTTAGATAGCTTTAGTTTTATACCAAAAATGTTCATTTTCATTTTACATTTTCTTTAGTTGTAATGTGGTGGCCCAGAGGTTTAAGAAGCCTGCTTCTCATGCATGAGAGTGCGGGTTCGAAAACTACCAATGGCAAAGCACCAATGTGTCTTTTTTCCGCGTTATTCGTATATTCAATAATCTAAGAAAGTACAAAGACACCGCTGACAAATGGTTAAGGAAAACATTGTGAGGAAACATGAGCTTATAATTTCTTATTATAAGTTTGAATTACCAACCCACATTGAGCTAGTATGGTGATTAATGCTCAAACCTCCATGCGAGAAGAGGCTTCGTTCAGCAGTGGCCACTAATAGACTTAATGATGAAAATGTTGATGATTCTACTAATTTGACTTACTTATTAGAAATTAATCCTTACACGCGTGCTAAGCAACCAGCTTTCAGAAGAAATACTTTCTCAAAAAGCTAAGCTAAGTTTAAATCGAATTAACTTGAGACCTTTGAGACTATCTACCTGCAAGATTCAAGGTGAAGTGAGACACTATTAGTTTTATCATATCCGCCACAAGACTTCCACTGCTAAATGTAGGCCTTCTACCCAATGACAGTCGCTTACATTATGAATTTGCATTTTCGTAGGCACCTAAGAAATTAAAAAGATTGTGAGGCATACTCTTTAAAACACTATAGGTACATCATGCTTGCTGAATTAACAGGATCATTCCTAATAATACAAAGTGTAAAGTCACTTGAGTAGCGAGCAGTATTTTTAGATTTTAGTTTTTTGTAAATAAAAAACAACCACATGAGAGCACATTGACATTTTTCAGTTAACTGTCATCTGTCATTTGTAATAGATATTTTGCTTACGGTGGCTCTACACTTGACGTTGCGTATTTGTTGTGTTCGACCAAAAAAGAACATGTTTGGAGAATTTATTCTTCTTTGTTTGCTATATATTTGCACGCCATTACATATAGAGATACTATTTGAACGTCATTTGTACGTAGTCTACAAATATTTGGACAAATGAAGCGACTACGCAATGTCAAGTGTGGTACCACCATAACGTACCTTTTGCACATTTTCAAAGTAAAATAACTTTTGAACCCCAAGTTCTAAAAATATGTAATTTTTTTCTAAACTTCATAATAAAAATATCTATCGTTCAGACTATTCACTTGGTTAAGGTGGATGCCTAGTTAGACCTCGCCATACATTTTTCAGGTGCGGAAATCTTCGTAAATAAACAGTTTCTGCAGAAGAAAAGGAACTATAATGAGACTTTATAATGTATTATGTTTGTGTATAGCCCAAATTTTATTAAAAAATTGTATTTCTAGGAGAATTAGACCGAATAAAAAACGATAAGTCTTTGCATGTGTGAGTGACCTGAATCGCGCCATCTGATAGAAATTTATAGAACCACCGAGAAATTTGGTTGCTGTTGTGTTCCGAGTTTACAATTGGTAAACATTCATAATAGATGGCGCTGTCCGATAATTCGAACAAGCATCAATGTGACGTGACGCGTGCGGGAATGCGACGTTGCCGGTCAAGAAGCAGCGCGTGCGCTGTTGCCATTCCGTCCATGCGTGATGTCTTGAATCTTGACAACTTGCGAATCATTTCCAGAATATTGTGTTTCTAGCAAGTTAGCACCGGGCGCGCGGGTTTACCCACGGAGTTAAAATTAACGATTGATAAAATGTTTTTTATAATGGGATGAGAATTAATGCTTTACATAAAGTGAAAAAAATATCTCTGCGATGTGTCCTTGGTCTGGTGAGGACCTGCGTCAACCGATAGGTCAGGACGCCGTGATTGCAGCCTGCCTGTACTAGTACACACTAACATTCCTTGA